ATTACCCTGAAATATTAGGGATACCGAAGAGGAATAACTTACAAATACGGTAGCAAAATAGTACGCGGCTCCTCAAATACTCCACAGTGGTCCACGAGCGCACCACTTGCACAGATAATTGGCGATGAAGAAACAGACTGGTGAATTAATAATAGTGTTGAGAGCAACTAGGAATTTCACTTAGCGGCAGATAAAAATGAAAATTATCTAAATGGTTGAATTAAGAGTGGCGTAGGGTCAGGCGGCTGGGCAAAAAGACCACACCCTCTCTGGTTTTTGTAGGTACATGGCGCCGGGTACCGACGGTCGAGAGAGAACGAGATCGCAGCAACACATTGTAAAAAGAGAGAAATTTAATACAAAAATTATGATAAGAGCTGCACGAATTCTGTAATCGGCTGGATAATGAAGATTGATAGAAATGTCTTCCTTCAAGTTAGTTACAAACAAATGAACACTAAACGGAGGCATTTTTCGGACGCAGGTGGACAGTGCGGTGCGGAGTGAGCCCGTTTGGAACTCGGTCAAATATTAATCCGTCCTGTCGTTACAGCTACTTCATTTTAAAATCGTTTTTTTACAATTAGACAGGGACCTTTTGAGTATGCCCTAAAGAGGTTAAGCATATTTTAATCGGCGTTGCCAAGTTGAGAAAAGGCCACTGTATGCAGTCATTCTGAACGGAAGGGGAGGGATTTGGTCCCTTAAAAGATAGATTTCATAGATTCGTAATGTGAATGGGAGAGCTGGCGCAACTTTTTAGCATTTTCCTGGTCTCAAATTCCGAGACGCCTGTGTCACGCCGGGTCACTTTTTCGATACATGGGGATCCGGCCATCCGATGTAAACAAAAAGGATAGAAATTACTATGTTTTCTACATCGCCATTTTGGATCGAAAATGCCTCGAAAAGTGACCGATGTTCGCCGCATACTGGGCTCGGAACTAGTCGACCAGAAAATGGCGCCAGCTCTCCCATTTATATTACGATTCTACGTTCACTGTACCCTTAGTGTGCGCGGGCTGAATCCCAACACATGAAAAGAAGGATTGCGACTTCATAAGAGCCTGGGTAGAGACGATATTTTGAAGATTCCGCCCTATCTTCCGCGTATGGTGTGAAAGTTACTTACCATATTCACCACTCAAATTCGCCAAATCGATCATCAATTTTGATTGATGACCAAACAGATGAGCAATCCCATCTCAATTTGTAAATAGTGTATCTTTCCTTCGAGCGCCGAGCAAAGTTCTTAGCCCGACATTCATTCATAAATGATCATCATGCAACGCCTCGTAAAGTATGATTAGGGTTTTTATTTTTTAGTCGAAAATGTGCTTAGCGTATAAAAGAACGTAGCAGTGCCTAAGTTTATACTCATTTGCATTCTTAACTCTCGTTAATATCAAGAAAAAAATGGATTTTCGGCCCGCGCTTTTAGCCCCATATAGCTCCTCAAAGTTTGGGATAAAAATCAGTATTTTCTTTCTTATGACGACAGCTAAGAAAGAATATGCATGAACTTAGACACTTTAACGTTCTTTAGTACGCCGAACGAATTTTAATTTTATTTTTCCTTCTCGGAAAATCTGTCCTCATTTTAGGGGAATGAAAAAGGTGCCTTAAATTCTACCAAAACCAGCCAACACCTCACCTGTATAACATTCGGATCAGTGGAATAGTATTTCCAATGCGAGGCAGTTTTGAAGATAAATTGATTTTTAATCGAATCAATTCTTTATTTGTTCTTTTTGCAAAAAAAAATAAATAAATAAATAAAAAAAATAAAAAAAAAATAAAAAATAAAAAAATAAAAAAACATCCGATCGATATGTTCACTTTTTTTCATTCATCAAAGATCAGAGTGGTTTCGTCACAATTACACGAATCCTTTCTCTCTCGGAGTGTCTTTCTTCTTTTTTTCGTGAGGGGGGGGGGGATGGCTTCAATATCTACGGCGACTGAGCAGCTCTACCGTGCTAAGGAAAAACGCCATATGACCATCAGGCGCTGCCAAATTTCCATCAATAAAATACAAATTTCTTGGAGAAGTTGTAGGTCTTTTCCCTCCAATTTTTCAGACAATTTCGTTTGTGATTCAATCCAAACATATCTGAACCTTTCACGGACAGATGGACCGCGTTTATCAAACAGGAACCAAGCCACATCAGCTATTGCCAAATTTAACTGGGCAATTAAAGTTTTTACGAGAGAACGTTTGTGCGGATTCAGTTGAAAATTGTAGGGAATTTGCTTCGTATAATGGAGAAAATTCACTGAAATTTGCACGAAAATCCGCCCAACCGTTTTCATGTAAAAAATTAATTCGCCCAATTGAATTTGGCAATAGCTGATGTGGCTTGGTTCCTTTTTGTTTAACGCGGCCCAAATATGCATAAATTTCTTCAAAATTACATGCTTTATCCGGAGAAATTTGGCAACTCTGAAACGTTTATACGGCGTTTTTCCTTAGCACGGCGGAACACCTCACCTGTCCCCGGCTCGGCGTACGGAGGACTGAAACAAATGAGGGCAATCGGGCTAAGAATCCTTGAATCGTGCATTAACAAATTGAAGCGGGAAGACGAATGCTCGGGCTGCGGGGTCGTGGCGATGAAATAAAATTAATTCGACAATTATTAATCGGCTACAGCGGAAAGCAGCTCCGCGATGTTTGTTTCTAATTTTTCCCCGCGAGTGGCTCCCACTCCGATCGGACGTTGGCGATCCTTCACCGCCGCTGCCCGCGTTAGCTCCTCCGTTGCCGGGCTGGAGCCTTCGAATTTTAAGAGATTCACGCCCACTTACACTGAAGTGATAGCGGAGAGAGCAGAACACTGAAAACAAAAAGATTCACTGGAAAAAAACAAACACATTGGATCTAGAGTCCAGACTCTTAAAAACATCGACAAGAAAAAATACTCTTGATTCAATCGGATTTAAGCTTAAATCAAGAACCCAGCCTCTTATTTGAGCGGATTTCCTTTTGATTTAAGCTTAAATCTGATTGAATCAAGAGTATTTCAGAGTCTGGACTCTAGATCCAATGTGTTTGTTTTCCAGTGTTGGTAGAATTCACCATTTTTTCACGCTGTATTGAAAGAGATTGCGTAGATAATTTTAAGAACTCATTAGATTCGTCATCATTAGCAAAACTTACCTTTCATCATAAATTCATAATTGAACCAGTGAGAACGAAAACACTCTCTTTTGTATCACTGAAATAGCTAAAGCAGCAAAATTCCTCTTAATCTTATGAAATCGAGACATAAGAAAGCCGTAAGTGCGCAAAAAAATGACGTAGTTTCAGGCAAAACCGCCGTAAGTGACATTTTCCTCCAGAGAGCCAATGAAAACAGTGTTTTCAAGTCAAGTGCCACCCTCTTCTGCCAATTTCTAACCTGAAAATGTGTTGCTGTACGTCCATAACGCAACCACGAAAGCATGCAGAAGATAGCACTTACGGCTGGCTCGCCTAACATGAAAATGAGAAATACCCTTTTTATGTGATTGAAATAGGTTTAGTAGATTTTTATTATTAGCAGATCTAAACGATTTGTAGGAGTCTTTTGGATGATTTATGGACATTTGACAAAGAACGGAAGCTTCTTTCGATAAAGTTTTCCGGTCATACGCTTCTAAGCCTGTCCTCTCAAAACTTCATTTTGCATTTACTGCGCTCTTCGCTATCACGGCAAAAGAGACCCTCTACTGGCCTCTTGGCGACAGGTGAAAGCTTTTAATTTCGGGGATTCAGAACTTCCTCATGAAAAATTTTAAGAGAGCAACAGTCATCTTACCTGCCATGTGGGCAATAAGCTTCGGGTGACGTCATGAGCCATACAAGTCACCCAAACTTTGATTTGTTTGCAAAACAAAACTTCCACCACGTTTTTAACCGACCATCGACCTAGTAGGCAGGTCAATAGTTAAATGTTGAAGTCCCGAAAGTAAAGGCTTTCATCATTGCCAAGACACCAGTGGAGGATCTCTGGTCTCTGCTTTTAGAGCCCAAAAAGCCCATTGGTCTAGCCTCTAGTCGTATGGGTTAAACGTCTTCCGGGATGAAGAATGGTCATCTGTATGGCCATTATTTACTTGCGATATCTTAGGCGCTGTTTCCTGGGGATAATGCGATACTATGTTGCTTGGAAATATTGAAAGCAATCGAAAAATATTGACCAAAAAACTGTCACGCAGGTGATTGAAACACAGTTGAACCAACCCCCCCCCCAACAGAAAAAAAAAAAAAACCCTAAAGCTTTGTTTTTTGCTAATATCAAACCGCAATATTCATACAATATCCCTTTGCAACTGTCTCTTAAGTAATGCTGCCTCAATGTTGCCACGACATCCCCTATCAATATTGTTCACGGGGAATTGGAGCAACTTTGCGAAAATATCCCCTATAGGTTGGTGAATTCCATACGTACACTAGTTTATGGCTGATCTGCAGTTTCCAATTAATTTATTGGGTAATGCTGCAAAGTTTTTCATATAGGATTTTACTCAAAATGCGTAGATTTGTGCACTCATTGACAACATGCAGGTGACTAGAGCCAGCCACCCGATGTGACGGCCGATCTGTTCTTCTCTCTTAATATTCGCACATCGCAAATACACATACAGCTGTGTTTACATATTACCCAGTCTTGTCAAAACTAACACCTTTGCGGCAGAGATGGTTCTGCTCCGTAGCTAGGTCGGCCACTCTTAGAGAATTCAGACTGTCACGCACAAGGAGACAATATAATAGTCACAAGTAAACGAAACCATAAATTTGCAATTGACTTTATATCATGATAAATAAAAATACATTTACTTTGAATGTTTTTAGCAGACATAGAAACAAAGTACCAAAATAAATAAAATGCGAACCTCCGAAATCAAGCATTATAACTGTAAAGTATAAAGGTGGAGCTCGATTTTTTGGGGAGGAGCTTTTGAAAATTTAAAACTGCCTACGATTCTAAAAAAAGGTTTTGTATTTACACAATTTTAATATACGGAGAAGAAGGAGGGTGTACGAGGCTGCCATTTTAATAATACATAAATCACTCGTAATGAGCCTTATTACGAAAGTGTCATGAGTGTTCCTCTTTCTAACTTGGTAAAACCTCTTGTAAAAAAACAAGAAGAATAAAGGAAATAATTTGCGTATACCACAATTGGACTGCATTTTGCAATTTGGAGCTATAAATTTTGGCTCTTCTGGAAAGAGTAATCATTCGGCTACCAACTTGAAACTTTCCTGGATGATCTGACTGTCTTCAAATTATCGAACTACGATCTAGGTATTTTGCTGCGGCGAAAAGACTCTGTAGGGACGTAAAGCGCCTTAAGCAGATATTCCTGTTTAGCAGTTTTCGTAAAAAACTGAAAAAGCAAGATTCTGATTCACTAGACATAACGTTTAAAAAACAAATTGCAGCGATTTGCCGGCCACAGGCAGGCTCGTGGTTTTCTGTGTCATAGGTTCGGCAGACAACATTAATTACTTGTTTTGACAATTACTTTTATCTAAGTCCCCTCGCGAGGCGCTTCCGACTACTCAGTTCCGCATCCGCTCACTTGGTTCCAAATCACCGTTTATTTTTCGCTAAAGAGCTAATAGGCAGTGCATTGTGTTTTATTCTCTGCCAACCGGCATCCTTGACTTTTTCCTTGAACTTTTCGAGTGCAGTATTGGTGTGACTGACCTTTTTGTGATTCTTGCCCTTTTCTTTAAATATTACGACATTTCCTAAATTTTGAGTTTTGAAACTTGTATGTGCTGCTTACCTGACACGTGACATTTTTCTCTTGTACACAGTGACAAAAAATCATATCGATTAAGGAAAAAACAGTTTAATGGAAAACAAATTACGGTAAAAGTTTAACATTTTAAAGTCACGATTTGTCGTCAACCTCTCTCCATTGTAAATTTAACATATTTTGAAAAGTAAGCCAAATTAACATAAATGCATCCCGGTTAGACCTATAAAGTAAAAATTTCTTTAAAATACTCAAGTAGCACTTGCCATTTGTTTAAACTTTTCTTGCGTATTTTACCAATTTTTTTCGTTTGAAAAATTCCAACTTAATTGTGTTTTGTGGCGTGAGAAAACTGCCTTATATCTTTTATCTTAAAAATGAATTGACCTAGAATAAAGAATCTCAAGAAAAATAACAAACATGAAGCTATCGGCATTATACCTACAGTTGTCAACTCTCCTCCAATCTTTGTGGAATTCAGATTCTAGTTCACTGAAAAGTAAGTATTCCGTTACAGGTGCCCGAGTTATTTCTTGATTTTAATAGTATGCTAGGAGGTCCTAGTGAAAAGACGAGTATATAACCTGCGTTTTCATCAAAACATTTTCATGATAGCGCTAGAATATATCATTAATAAACTGATGACATACATTATTTCTGAGAAAAATGACCATTTTAACCGATAGAAGTGTTAAAAATAATGAGGAGCATTAATGAAAGTTAAAGGCACTGTGTTGAATAACATGACTTTAATGAATAAGAAACCAAAAAAGAGGTACCATGACAAATGATAAGAAAAACGATGTTGAAGAGCGAGAAGGATATAATAATGTTGTTTACATGAAACTCACAAAATGACGATCAGTTTTTTTAGTAAGACCTTTGATTTGCCGTCCGTACCTCCTTAATGTTCAGGAATTAGCGGTAGGAAATATACACTCGTTTATAAAACAATTCAGAATGTAACACTTGGACCTCCCCGATGTAGTGTCCCTGTCGGTCCCGGGCATAGTAATTGTATCATAAAATTAGATTATTATCATATTAATCCTAATCGTACATGAGGTAAAGATAGCCAGTAAATAAGCTAAATTAGTGATACGAGTAGTTAGGTAAAAAACCTCATGTACATTTAATAACTGCACAACATGTACCTTTATGCACTTTCTTCCAATCTTCGAATATAGTCGCTGTCGACAAAAAATTATTAATAAAAAAAAAAATAAAAAAAGAAAAGAAAAAAACACTTGGACCTTCTCAGAAGTATTATGCCCGACACAAGTGGACCATCCTTTCATAAACGACTTCTCTTTTTCAACACAGTAGTATCAAATAATATCGTACAGTATTCAAATCTGGGCCCCCACACCAAAGATTAAGAAAAAAATTAGATAAGCTTGGACAAACAATAAGACCCATGAAAATATCATTAATCGCAGGATATAGAACAGTGCCGGATCTTTCTTTGGACTTGATATCAACCATCCCACCTGCTGACAAACTATACTACTGGCAACTATAATATGTCACAATGCACCTTCTTTTGAATTTCAGACATAACTGTTGTCCGGTTATGTATTGAATTTATAAATTAAAACATAAAATTGCTATTAACTGAAAAAAAAAAAAAAAAAAAAAAAAAAAAAAAAAAAAAAAAAAACACTTTGACCTCACTGAAAAATGCCTCGAAATGTAGGAGGAGCGTGGCACAGAGGTTTCCGGGCCTAAAAAATGGAAAAAGACCTCGATTTTAGGCCAGTAAGGGTTTTTTATAGCCGCTGTGATATCATCAGTCACGCTATAGATTGTAGAGTTCCAATCTCATCGGTAAAGAAATCATAATTAATAGTTTAGATAAGAGATAGAAGGGGTGAATGAACTAAAAAAGGCTGTTCTTGATTGAACCGAAGACAAATACGTTGAAACTGAATTTAAAAAAATGAAAAAAACTTGGACATTGGAAGAAGAAGACACACACACATACATGACTTAACATACTGACTTAAACATTTAAAATATGCTCCAAGCAATACTCCAATAGTAATGGTCAATTGACAATAGTACTCTCGGTCGTATTTCAAATTTTTGTCAGAGGATTTTCGAAATAAATGCTCCGTGATGACTGTTTTAGATACAAATATTTCATTTAAAAAATTAAAAAAAAAAAAAACTAACCTCGGTATTTAATTTAAAAATCCATTGATCTTGCCCAGAATTCTCTGCGCCAAAGCCCAGGACCTACTTTGAGCAGCGGTCTTATTATCAGATAGATGCACACTTTTACGAAGCAGACCGAGACAAAATGGTAACTGGAATAAAACAACGGGAAAAAACGGGAAACAAGTACCAAAAAAAAAAAAAAAAAAAAAAAAAAAAAAAAAAAAAAAAAAAAACGGAGACGTTTTGACTCAGAAATGAGTCACTTTTAGTCGAAAAATACAATAAAAATTAAAAAATTATCGATGATAAACCCTGAGACTTATCTACTCGGCCATCAAAATGCAGATCTCAGGTTTTTTCATCGATATTTTTGAATTTTGTTGTATTTTCTGACCGGCAATGACTCAGTTTTGAGTCATAACGTCTCGGGGTTTTTATTGTACTTTGGCCTTGCTTCCAGTTTTCCCCCTTGTTTAAATCCGGGTCTTATTAACGCTGTTCAAACTTCTCAAGATTCCAGGATACAGCGAGAGCAGCCGATGGAAAGTTCTGAGGAGATTAAATGGACTCTCATGCCAGACGGTCGGGGAGATGTGAGGGTAGCCATCCTGGATGGGTTGATGCCAGGTTCCGAGCCGGACGTCCAAGACAGTGTCAAGTTTTTGCTCTACACGCGTCAAAATGCAAAGAAACCAGAGGTCGGCAAGATGAACTCCACGTGTCGGCCCGTCTTCAAGTATTTCAACTCCAAGAGGCAGTCCAAAATCCTTATCCACGGCTTCGGGGACGATTCGACCTCGTCGCTTATGTACCCTGTGCTCACAGAGGGTAGGTGTATTGATATTTACCATAAGCAGATATCTTAAGGGATCTGTTCTGCCGTACTAAGGAAGAACACCGTATGAGCTTTTAGATGTTGCCAAATTTCTTTCAACAAGAAATGAATTTATTGGGAAAATTATGAATATTTTCCCTCTTTGTCAGACATTTTTGGTCGCAATTTGATCTAAAATATCTGAATATCTCAAGGAGGGATATGGATAACTTTTCTCGAAAAGACATGTTTTATCCGGGGAAATTCGGCAACTCTCGAATGTTCATACGGTGTTTTTCCCTAGTACTGCAGTATCATCCCCTAGATTTCGATGCACCATATCCCGAGAAAACCTGAATGTTAGAAAATAGCCTTTGAACCGGTACATTTCCTCGTTTCATTGCACACAGTGCGATAGATAAAAGAAAGTATTTTAAATTTTTTCTAAGTATTTATTAGTAAATTTGAACCTGAAATTTCATAGTTTTCATTAAAGTAAAGCCTTAAAATGCAGTGATCATCATCATAATTGGACTGCATTTTGCAATTTGGAACTATAAATTCTGGCCTGGTTTAAAAACAACGTATGTGACATTAGTTTCCCTATGCACATAAGTGTTTTTTCAGATGAGCCAGAAATTATAGTTCCAAATTGCAAAATGCAGTCCAATTATGGGAAATGTTCCAAAGTAGGGAAATGCATGTTTTTCGAAAGAATTCCGCTCGTTAAATTGAAAATGGGTCACACAATATACCGCATTCATTTGAATGAAACGATTCTATATAAATGCTTCGTATGCTACCTTAATGGTAAATACATAAATTTTAATCCCAGTGGTTTCTATCAATTATCCAGTGCTTATTTCATAAAAACACTAGGATCCTAGGAATGTTTTTCTTACGCGCGATGCTTTATAAGGTATAATGAAATAGGAAAAAATTGAAAGAAAGTGACATCAGTTAGTTTTGTACATGTTGATTTAGCATCGGTTTTTAAGTAAGTTCAGGTTTCTGATAACCGCATGCTCATAGTTTTTTGTCTCAAAGAATATGAGTGCTCCTTCAATTTGTTTGAATATGCGATTTAAGTTGCTCTGGAGTTGAAATAATTGGATCACAAAATTAGATTGCTCAGCGCAGAGTTTAACGTAGGATTAACGAAATATGCAGCGGCAGACTGCATTTACCATCACATAGAGAAGCAATGATTGTGAATTCGTCAATCCAACTTGCGTTTCGGCATCAATATAATGCTCTGAGTAGGAAAGTGCCTTTTTTTTATTGGACCTTTTGGGGCTGATAATCTTGTTTCAATCTTGTTTGAGATCCCTGTTTTTTTAAAAAAATTTTCGTTTTTAAAATTGAATAGCTTCTACTTAATTCAAATAATAGATGATACTTTGTCCATCACGGTTTTGACGTAAAGGATGAAAGGATGAATTGACCCGGCAAATGGACTGGCCACGCATTTCAGCTTCGGATCACAGCATTTGAAATCGTGTAAACGGAATAGCCTTTCTAGAACGCGTGCAATAAATTTGCCCAATAGGGGAACTATAAGTGCTTTTAGGGCGGAATTCATCTCTCGAATCTATACAAATAAGTATTTCAAACTTTATAAAGTTTGAAGTTCAAATACATCAAAATCCTAATTGTACCAATAAAAGCTAGAACTGTACAAACTGTGATTTGAAGAAAACTATACCAGAGAGTTTCGAATTGCCTTTTAGTACACACGTAGTTTTAAACGATTCCAAATAATGGATGGTTTATCATTGAATGTGCAAGTACTAACGTTTGTTATAGGTTATTTTATGTATTTGACAAAGCAAACATTCAATTTAAAGTGAATGAATGTAGGGATCCAACATGTAAAAAATCTTCACACCATGATATAATATATTAATATTGTTTGTTTCCTGGTAGCTTTCTTGGCCAAGGGTGACTACAACGTGTTCCAAGTTGATTGGGGCGAGCTATCAGCCGTGCCATGGTACTTTTCGGCAAAACGAGCTACGGTCCCTGTCGGTCAGCACACAGCATCTCTCATCGATTACCTTTCTATGACGAAAAAAGGCCGAGCGGGCGATTTTCATATCGTAGGATTCAGTTTGGGTGCGCACGCTGCTGGAATAGCTGCGCAAAATGTCCAGACGGGCAATGTCTATAGAATTACCGGTAAAAATTTAACAACACTTGGAATGGGGAATTGAATTCTTGCATCATAAATGCATCTCGGAATCACGTTCAGCGTACAGGTTTATACATCGAGACAAGGAAATTGAAAAACACTAACTCTGTCCAAAGTCTTGCACGAAATTATGTATGTCCATCGAATTATGTATGTCCGAAAAATATTTTGTAAGAAGGAATATATTCGATCCAATGTAAAATTTTACCCACCTAGCGTTTCAATATTGGTTTCTATATACTTGAATGATAATAGCAAACATAGTTTTTTAATAAAGCCGTTTTTAGAATCCTGGAAACAATTCGGAACGTCATGTTTCCGGGGCCCAATTTTTGGCAGTTTTTGTAGATCAAAATACCGCAGAAAAAAATTCACGGGAAATCTTACCGTTTTCTAACTACAATGAAAACATATAACTCCAAAATTATGTGTAGGGACTTATTTATGAGACAAAAACACTAATCCTTAAAGAAGAAAGTTATGTACGAATAAAATTAATTAGATGGAGACGACACAGATGACTCCATCTGTATGATTTTCATTTTTTTACAACAATGTCGTATATTAATTGACTTCTTACTTAGAGGTTGATTTCCAAATTCTCTGTCGCGTGGATTTATTTATTGTTTTAAAGAAGTAACACATGAAGTGATGTTAAAATCTAATTTTTATTCAGTGGCTCAGTCTTTTTGTTCTAATGATTGTGTTCACCAGGCTTAGATCCCGCTCAAGTGATGTACGGGAGCACGGGAGCAGAGGAGAGGCTTGATCAACATGATGCTCGAATAGTTGAGATCGTCCACACCTCGGGGGGCTACCTTGGGTACCAGGACCCTCTCGGCACTCGCGATTTTTACCCCAACGGAGGCAGCTGGCCCCAGCCTGGGTGCACTTACGACTTTGCATGTACGTGAAACTCTATTTGTAAAACTGTTTCGATTAGAAACTCAGAACTCATACGATTTCCTAAGTAGGGGCAGAGAGATTAAATTAGCTTTGCATCAATAGTTCAAGTACCGAAGAAATGCCAATAATACGTGCGGAGGGAACTTCTTAAGAACAGTTGCCGACCGTCCTCAAGCACAGGAATGTGAGTCCAAATCGTCATCCGCCGGCTGGCTCTGCGTACAGACTCTATACCTCACGTCTTTTTTTTCTCTCACAATCAGTTGAAGGTACCGCTATCTAGGGTAGGAAATATGTACCTAGAATACATGTTTTAATAAGTTTAATAAGTTTTAATAAGATTTAATAGTTCAACTTTAAAAAAATTTAGCTGCATAGAAAAACAATTGGCACATAAATTGCGTTTGAGATGAGCCTTAATGGTGACTCCTCATTGCAACTGATGTTCAGGTCCGAGACAAGCCCCTTGTTAAAAAAGGGGCTGCATTTTGCAATAAGGAACTTTTATTTTTGGCTTATCCGAGAACGCCTGGATAAGGAAACTAATGGTCTAAAATGAGCCAGAAATACCGGTTCCTCATGGCAAAATATTGTCCAGAGTTAAGAGCGATTTCCTTCAATACACATAGTGATTGGTCGTAAAAGCCCCTGCATTCGTTGAGGACGCAAAAATGCATACAGAAGTAGAATCGAGTATTCTACTGTGTAAGGTGCCAACAATAATGCGAAGCTTCATGTGTGCTCCGCAAACATTTTGCTAGGAGCTGATAAAATTGCTTTTTTCTTTTTTTGGTTTTAATTTTGTTAGTTTTAAAAGTGTCCGGTGTTCATTATATGGCACAAAACAAAATTAAACAAAATGGGCACACCGAGAAATGAAAAAATCTGAATTAAAAACCGTGTAGGTAATTTGGCGCATAGTATAATATCGATTAATGTAGCCGGCTTCTTTACGTAACACAGTTTAAACTATCGAATTCTCATCTAGGTATGATTCCTTAGTCCAAGAACACGATTGAATTATTCAAGTGTTGCGGCCAATATGGAAAACTGCATTTACGGTTAACGAGACCTAATTTTTTTCATGGTAACCAAAGCTAAAATCTGATTCTGAATGATAGCAAAGTTTCTGGGTGACTTAAACTCTGTAAAATTATCATAAATTTCACAAGAATCCAATTCAAAATTAAAATAATTTTTATGTTCATTAATCCAAAATCATTAATGACCTAAATCAAATCCTTGCATTTCGGCAAAGGATTCTTCATTACATTCAATTCTGACAGATTATCCGAATACATATTTCTAAAGCAATTGGAGCGCGTTTAGCAGAAAGAAACCAAGCCACATCAGCCAGTGGCAAACATTGGGCAATTTAATTGTATACATGAAAACGATTGTGCGGATTTTAGTGCAAATTTCAGTGAATTTTCTGCATAATACGAAGCAAATACCTTAACATTTTCAAAGGAATCCGCACAAACATTCTCTCGTAAAAAATTTAAGTGCCCAGTTAAATTTGACAATACACTGGGGAAAAAAACACATTGGATCAAGAGTCCAGACTCTTGAAAACATTGACAAGAAGAAATACTCTTGATTCAATCGGATTTTTGCTGGAATCAAAACTAAATCCGCTTAAATTAAGAGGCTTGGTTCTTGATTTATGCTAGATTCTGATTGAATCAAGAGTACTTTTTCTTGTCGATGTTTTTAAGAGTCTGGACTCTAGATCCAATGTGTTTTTTTTCCAGTGTACCTAATGTGGCTTGGTTCTTTTCTGCTTAGCGCGGTCTAATTGAAGATAAACCGCACTTAAAATCAAGATTATCTCTGCTCATTTATAAATCTACCAACTTCCATCATAATAAACTGACGGTTTGCGGAATCCTTTCTTATTTCACAGCCGTATGCAGTCATCGAAGAGCGTATTACTACTTTGGAGAGGCAGTCAAAGACGAGCGAGGTTTCACAGCTGTTCCATGCCCCAACTACGATGAGTTCGAGGCAGGACATTGTCCCAACTCTTCTGCAGTCGTCATTCTCGGAGAAAATCCCTCTCCAGAGTAAATTCACACACACACTTTCTCATGCCGTGAATTTATTTTGATAGGGCTGCACTCAGCACGGAGAAATAGGCAACTAATTAGTAATTTGATTGGAAAAATTGCACAAAATTCGCGTTGAGCACATCAGAAATCCTCACCTTCCAGCCAAAGTATCACAAGTGCCTTGCTACGTTTTAAAATTTCCGCCGGCATTTGATTTTTTCACAGAGAAATTGTTGGTTGAATCTGTTTGAAAATTTTACTGAATTTTATTGCCGCAAAACAATGAAAATTCAGTGAAATATTCAGACAGCTTGGATGAACAAATTTTCTGTAAAAAAATAAAATGGCGGCGGAAATTTTGAAACGTCACATGCCGAAGGGCTGTTGAAGGCAACAGCCTTATATTTATCCTAAGGAAATTTTGATTTCCTGAACAGAAAATAAGTTTCACCCATAGTCAAGAAATTAGTAAAGAGCCGCTGCTTGTCTCTGAGAAGAGGCTTACCTAGTTAAGCAAGTTACATTTCTCTCATCCTGTTTTAAATCTGCCTTGCGTATGACATCTAAAACTTTTGATTTTACCTTTTTATATCAAAGAGGAGAAAAAAAATACCATTAGATAACCGATCAAAGCAGTGAGATATACATATGTTTGAAAAAAAAAAAATCTACTTGCTTTTGAGTTATTAAAAATTCGACCAGGCCTTGAAGGAATTCGATTTTTTAAAAACAGATGTTCTCATTCTCATGAAGTCAAATTTGGTCAAAATTCTCACCTGAAAGGTAATCTATTTGAACGGATTTTCCAATTATTAACTTCTCAATGAGCCTTACAAAAAACATTTTGACACCTGCACGGAAGTTCTGCCGGGTTCTTTTTCAACATTCTGACTGAGCAGAAAATGAATTACCTACATTTCCTTTCTTACTGACTCCAAGAGTGTGAAAGCGGAAACAATACCGAAGAAAGATAGGCAGGTAAATACCATTATCAGAAAGCAGTGTCGATCACATTGTCACTGACTAATGCGAATTTTATGCTAATTTTATTCAAAGATACGCTACATACCTAAAGCGCTTATATCTATAAGTAATTCCCGATTATTTTTCTTTTTTAGCTACTCCGGTACTTTCTTCTTAGATACGAACCCCGAGCCACCGTTTGGGAGAGTGCAAAGCCTACCTCGAAAAAAGAAGAAGAATGAAACGGAGGAAATTTGAAACCCGGCGTGAAGAGAGCTTACCTAACTCAGGAAGAAGACATATTTATTCGAGTTTAATTTTAATCAGTTTTTTGGGTCAGCATGAAAAAATGCTGGAAATTAACTAACAATACAATTTTTTCAGACAAAACAAGAGCGTGTTTTAATTCTGAAACCTTAATTTCTCTCGACGTTCAACACTCCCATGACAATTTACAAACATGTTGATGTTTTTGGTCACAGCATGAGCGTGATTGTAAAAACTAGTAGAATATATTTAATTATTATTAAGTAGCAAAAGTATGTGCCATGATATTTTTTGTTTATTTAAAACCACGAAAGTATTATGCGAAGCAAAATCACAATTTTTTTCATTTTTTTAAAAACAAGTTCGCTCTTCTCTCTTAAATGCTGAAATAGCCAAATCAATTAAGAAGGAGAAACCAACTTCATGATGAGGTCATAGAGTTTTCCCCAGCAATCTCATGAGCACACACCAAACAACTAAACTCAGTTGCCAAAAAACTTAGTACCTTTCTGTTAGACTCGATCCTAAAGTATTGCAGTTAATTAAAATAAAAACATGTTGGCAACATATTTTCTTTATGAGAAAAAAAGTAACTATACTACAAGCAGATCCCTTTCCCTAAGAAACGTGGTTCCTTGTTGCTTATTGCGCGATTCTAACACACATTTCTAAAATTACAATAATTGCCTCTTACACATTAATTAGGTATACATGTTGCAATCGGGAACTACTTTTTTTGGCTCATATTAGAAACAACATAAGTGCCTTTAGTTTTCCGATGCAGATAGGTGCCTTTATGGATTTACTACAATTAATACCTCTTTATTGCAAAATACAGTCCTTTAATATATGAATTGCTGCATCTGGGATTACATATGTTTGGTGTATCAATAACGGAGGCAGAATGCAATGGAGGCTTTCATTTTCACACTAGCAGACGAGTTTCAAACAGCTTTCCCCTCATTATTACCTATTGTGTCATAAGACGTTACTGGAGGATTCGGCCGGAACCAAAAGTCAGCACGGAAAAAACCATTACGATTGCAAAAAGCCACCATGAGTGAGCATATAAATCAATTATAGACGATAATGACGTAAAAAAGATGAAAAAGTATACCGAAACACGCATATTGTTGAATAAGGTTTAATGGCTTGGATGCATTTCGAGCTCAGCCCATCTTCAGCAAGCACTTAAAACGAAACACAGAAACAAGTTAATCACAGTAAAGAATTGTCACAATGCATGATGGAAAAAAATATCGAGAGGCAAAGCGAACTAAAAACTTGGGAACTGGTCAAAAATGAAAAAATGTTAAAAAATGTTAAAAATGTTTAAAAACCAGTGGAAATAACTGATAGAGTTAGCAGCAAAATATAGTAAACAAAATGAAGTATAGAGTGAAAGACGCTAATTATAAATAGGGCATGGCTCCCTACCGCAGCTAGGCAACCAGTAATACAGAGAAGACCAGACAGCTTCAGTGACAAGCTGAAGATGGGCTGAGCCCGAAATGCATCCAAGCCATTAAACCTTATTCAACAATATGCGTGTTTCGGTATACTTTGTCATCTTTTTCATGTTTATCATAACAGCACGCGAGATGCGCTTTTCCAGATAATGACGTACTGTATGAGCATCCGACGTAAGTAATGACGAAAATTTAAAGTTTGTTTTCCAATCGCGTGTTTCAAAACTGTTATTAGCCATGTGCTTGCCCGAAAAATAATTCAATTACGGAAGACTTTGCAGAGTTGCCATATCCTCCGAGCAAGAAAACTTCTTCAATGTCAGGAGAAATGGGGAAAAGTGAAGTTTTTCACAAATTTATAGCACTAGTGCGTCACCAGTGGTAATTTGAATGCTCACACAGATGGCCGATGATCGGCAATTAACTCAACGCTCAGGCTGCACGGATTTATGTTTCCAGGACAACAAAATAAGAGTAAAAACAGTTTATAAGATCGAACCATTGTATCGCAATTTTTCAGATGTCTTAATAATATTTTATATAATAAAAATGCTGCTAAAAATGACAGTTAAATCTAATATTTTCAGCACGACTGAGGCTCGCAAAAATATGTCAGATTGAAATTTAAAAATATATTACGATCGACCGCATGATTGTATTCTTCAAAATAACAGGACTATTTAAAAAACTTCTAAAAAACACATAAAAAGTAAAACAAAGGGACGCCCTTTGACCGTTACGTGGCCTAATTCTTGAAGAGCGCCTCACATTTTAAGGGCTGTCTTGGGTCATATTAAAAAAAATTTAGGACGGGTTTTTTGAAAATAAATGCAAAAGTCATTAAAATCAACCCTGCATATATTTGAAACAAACTGTAACTAAACATTTTAGATATAATACAATTCGGAAAGTCGGGAAGCTTATAAATGTAAGTATATACGAGCTATCTTCGTCGAAGAATCTAAATATATTTCAAGTGAACCTTAGCAGATGAATGTGAAAGCGATGAGATGAAGGATTAATTGGACTGCATTTTGCAATTTGGAGCTACAAATTCTGGCTCATCTCAAAAAACACTCATGTGCATAGGGAATGGCACATACGTTGTTTTTAAACCGGGACAGAATTAATAGTTTCTAATTGCAAAATGTAGTCCAATTTTAGTATTTGTCTCACGCTTTTAAAGCAAACACCAGGTAAGACTGGGTTCATGAGGTAGATTTAGGGGATTCGTTTCCCAATGATTTACTTTGTCATGTTTTAAATTGTACTTAAAGAAATCGAAGACAACTTTGGAGTGATCCAAACTGATACTTTCAATAAAAGAACTAAATGATATAAAAATCGGTAAGAGTTTTGTTAACAACTCAGATGCAACAATATACAAATAAGATCTCCTCGGTAACTTATAAAATACTGATGGGAAGAGGAATGATTAGACGGAGAAGTAAGTGAAAAGCCCTGAAAAATTGTCTTGAATGCTTCAAAGTATTCAATTTTGACCAATCAATGGGATCCCAGGTCATGTGAACGCCAGATAAAGTTGTGAAGAAAGTGTCTGGCTTTGCTGCTATAAATGTATAAATGCGTAAGTTATTTGAAAAGAACATGACCAAGCAGGTCTTTGTCCTCTCATTTCCTTGGTTTAGAAGCATTTACAACCACCGTTATTGTATTTACAGGACAATAATTTAGAAAATGAATGGCATAGCATTTGGTTTTATTATAATATAAAAATAAAAAAATATTGACATATATTTACGAGGGTGAATATCCTTTCAAAATGTGTCTACATCCTTCCTATCATACATTACCCTTTCTTTCATCATTGTAACTCTTCGTCATTCCTTTTTATGTCTTCCTTTTAATTGGAGCTTTAAAAGCTAGGAATTTCGTCTATTCACCACCCTGCCATCAATATTTATATGGACATTCTTCATTTATATCTGAATCAGTTGTTTTCAAAAGGGAACAAATCCATCTTTGCATGAGCCTTGGCTTTGCATGAAAGGACTGCTGTCCGAGACTCATCGAGAAATGGACCTGTTCTCTTTAGAAAAAAAAACTGATTCATATTGGTTTGTGTGGCATAGCCAGTTTTTCATGGGAGCGATCGCGGTCTTAGTTATACATTTTCTGGGGGAGGGGGGTCATAGGTTAACATGTTTTACAAATTACGGAAATTGATGTTCCTTAGAGGAATTTTGTGGTCATGAGGGGGGGGGGGGGCCNGACCACGCCACTGCTGGTTTCAACTTCCGTCTGCTCACCGATGGTCGATATAACTCGAATGCTCGTCCACTGTGCGACGCCAGATTTGCGTGAACGATAGCTTGGAAGGTGGCAAACCGGGCGTTAAGTGGACACATATTTCTCGCGCGGCCAGCTGCGCAGCCAGAGCTTTGAAAATGTCGCGCGCTGATCACGGTACATAACCTCCGGTTTTTCACATTTCGCTTTCCGTTCTCTTTGATTCTCATTCCCGGCTCGTCCCTCATTCTTCGGCGGTGAGCTAATCTTTGATCCTCGCGGATGTGATAGTGCGGATTTAGTTTTTCCCCCGTTACTTTTGGTTCTTTTAGTTTTCAAAGCTCGCCGCTTGCCACTCAACCTGAACCGCCGGACTACTTAAAGCTATTAATGGCCCTACCGTTGTTTAAAATAATCATTGGTAAGTTATTGGAGAAAAAGGCAGTGTGAATTTTCATTGCAAAAGCATGCTAAAGTTTCTTTACGGTGTTCGTAAATTAGTGTTCCAAAATCGGAGGGATGACCTGAAAAAGAAAGAAAGAAAGAAAAAAAACCCTCAAAACTTAAGGGACTATTTCTTGTAGAAATGTGTCGTCAAATTTGGAGTAAAATTGAATTTTTGACGAAAAAAATCCTACACATAGTGATTGAAAGAGTACTAATTGCTTTCGCTTTAGTTCATTACTGGAAATGTATGTAAAGCTGCTTCAAAATGCAACAATATTCAGCTTCAAGTCAAACAGCAGAGTCAAACATAGAGTAGTTTTATTACTTAAAATTCCGTTTCTTAAACTGCAATTTCTAACCCTGCAAGAAGGGGCTTAGAGGGGCATCTCATCAAGGGAGTCAGGGGTTTCAATCCAGGGAACCCCCTCATCAAGGGGGTTCCCTGCGCCCTAAAGATAGGCAAGAGGAGCCTCTCCGGAAAAATTTGAAAAAATGAAATGCCAATGAGACGCACTTTTGAAAAGTTTTTACCAAAAATTGTTGATGGTAATTCGTCTCAGACTGTGCTCCATGAATACTTATAAAATATTCCTATCCCCTTTCATATCAGTAATTACTAGAGGAGAGTGCATTGCTTTGTATCGATATATACATAATTTTAAACTTTTAAAATACAAAAATCATAAAAATATGCGTAAGAACTATCTCACCTATTATTTTCCTGTAAAGGCCGAGATATTTTTCCTCTTCACCTTTAACTGGTTGAATTTTTACGAAGCTGGCATACTTTTTAGCCGTGCAAAAATGAAGTAAATTAAGAATTACTTGACCGAAATAGGTACTGCTTAGAATATTTTAGACCACCAAAACGTCACTAACTTGTCTAAACTATTCATGAGTCTTTGGGGAGATATTATGTAAAAAAGCATGCCGACACTATATCGCAAATGGTAGAAAGTTGTTAATCCCTTATTGTTGATGTATGAGAGGTGTAGTATTTACATTAGCTTCGCTTCTTGCCGCGCGCTGTTACGACTCCTATCTCCTTTTGTATTTCTGTTTTTGTCTTTTTTCCATTCTATACCTCCTTCCTGCAGTGCATCTCATACCACTAATTCTCCATTTCAAGTCGTCTTTCAGAACAGTATGTCCGATAATTGATAAATGAAAAGAAAAACAGTAGCATATCCTGCTTCGGTAAAGCAACCTTTGGACCAAATAATCATACTCCAATATACTCCAAATGCTGTCACTCCTCAATCGCCCTTAATTACTTGTAAAAGTCTCAAAATTGGCTTAAGGCAAATCAATATCCCAAACCACACCGAGAAAAAAGATGGGTAGAATTTACCATTCCTTCACGCTGTATTTTACACAGCGTGAATTCAAAGTCGATTCTGCCAGAGGAATGGTTACCTGTACCAGTATGTAGTATGTTTACCTTTCTTCTGGCAGAATTGACTCTGAATTGACGCTGTGTAAAATACAGCGTGACGGAATGGTAAATTCTACCGATCTTTTTTCTCGGTGCATGGTTGACGAAAAAAGTATTTGCCTAGTGAAAGCAAGAATTCAATAACTTCTGCTTTCACTGAGATAAATACTTGAATTTGTCATCAAGAAAATTAATTACTTTTTGAATCACGAATTTAGAATCACTCAAATCCAGCAGATGGTTGCTTGGTATAAACGCCTTTTGTATTGATATTGCCGTTTCCCTCACGAAAGAACGAGACTCTTTAATGTTGCCAAACTGTCGACCATAACTTCTGCCTCAAAAACGATGAGGCTTTTGCCAACAACAACAACTCTAATGTTGCCGTATTTCTCCTCGCAAATTACATATTATCTAGGAGAATCTTGAATGCTCCTAACTAAAATTTCACTGATTTTTCCTCTGATTTCATGCAAAAATCAGGAAAATATTTGATAAAAATTGCTTAGGTATGACTTTGTAAAATGAATTAATTTTTTGAGCCAATTTGGCAACTTTTGAATGGAGTTACGTTCCCTCGTGGGGAGACGACGATGTAAGCATTTTTCCTGCTTGAATCAAAATTAATTTCCTCTTAACGACAAAGTCTCGAATATTTTTACAAGACCCAAAGTCTTTTTTTTCTAGTGAAGATCAAGGAAATGAAAAAGTTTATTTGCGCCTTTTTTGCATCGGTTTAACACATTTTGCAGCAGATAATATTCGACATTTCTTCAGTTTTTGCAGTGCCTTGACCTTCCCAAACGGCGAATATATAAGAACTTCAAGTTGTATCCGCATAAGGATATTTAAGCATTCTTAACTTCCCCAGTGAGAAAAAGAGGCTAGCCTCGGGGAACGACGCGAAGACAAATTGAATCGTCGACAGACCTGGACGATATCGTTCCATGTCAAGCACCGCAACGTTGAAGGAGTAATTATTATTAATTAACTACACGCGTGTTTATCTTGTTCGGAGACATTGTTTGATGGAGCGGTGAAGTGAGCCCAACTTGCGGCAAAAAAAGAAAATCTTTCGAAAAAACGGTATCCACCGCCTCTGTGGGAAAGTCAACGATAGTCAAATTACCAGTTTTTGCACGATAAAGGATGAGAGGGCTTCCAAGCTGTTACATTAATATGTGTGTTATTCTTGAAAACTAGTGGAGAAAGATGAAAGTCTTTTGGCAGCGATAAGATTTAATTTATTTTAGGTTGGAGAGGAGGGGGGACTGATCTCAAAAAATCTCGAAAATTTTCCTATAACTTACAAAAATTGCCCGCCCAAAAAGGTTAAATTGTAATTGTGGATACGGGCAACATCCCCTTAATTGCCCTCTTCAAAGAAAGTAGGTATATACAAATCAAAACAAACGATGCTATGCATTTTTTAAGGTGTTGAGATATTCACAGTCCAATTAAAACATTTCAAATTGTCCATTAAAAGACTTAGCGCATAAATATAACATTGGATAGACAAAATTTTTGAATCAATGTTATTGCATGCTTAAGTAATCCTCCAGCTGAATATTAAACGACCAGCTGATTGCAACTTTTTTTCAGTCCGTGTATTTTGAACTAGGAACAAAATGCTGGTACTGCAGCACTAAGAAAGCATCAGCTCAACAAGATGCAGTGAATTGCCTCTGATTTTGAAATATTTTTCTCACTGTTTCAGGATGCACAATTATTCTGAGTGATTATGTGTTCAGTATAGGTGTATTAGAGAGGTCATCAAATTGTCCCAAACCACCAGAAGAATGTCCGAATGTAAATATTACCTTCCACCTATACAACAGGTTTGTGCCGAGCCAAATGCTTGTGAGGGGTTTTCTTTAATAATCTCAGTTAATTTGATTAACTCAGTACATTTATTTATTTTAGAGAGAGAGTTTAGGTATTATTATTGACCATGTGAGAGTAAAAAATAATAATTTTGACAACGTTTTATTGTAATGAAGGGGCGTGTTAAAATGATTTTTTAAAACGAGAAAGTAACACAAAAAGAAGGAGTCCATTGTACTTCAGTGTACTCTAATTTTACTGCCGAGAATTTCAAAATGAAATCTAGAAATCATTTCATACCAGTGCTTTCCTACCAAACAGAGTGGTATGAATGTGAAGTAGAATCTATACTCTTTTTCTCTGGTTAATCCCTTTGTTACAGATCATAATCATTATTTAGGTGTTTAGGAGTAATGCAAACTCAAAGAAATTTGTATAACAAAATGACGTGCGTATGAGTTTCGTCTCTATACCGCAGTGGTGAGGCATACACTGATATCGCGTGGATTTAAAACCCCTTCAATTACAGGCGCATACAACTTATCATACATGAAATTCGTTGAAGCAGTCTACGCTGCGAAATGAAGGCGATCTGAATGAAACGAAACTTTTAAACAGCAAGCATCTTATTGCATGATATGGGAGGAGGTCGTTCTCTTAACAAGGCGAAATGAAGTGACAAAAGAGCCGTCGAACTTGAAAGATATTATATCCAATCTCAATAATATCACTCCTAATATTTACAGAAAATGATGAGAGCTACATTATCTTAAACAACCTTCAAAACACAGCGAGTCAGTGAAAAATAGCATTGTAATAGGAATAGAATCACATTCAACGCGTGGCACGAGGTGCACAAGAATAGCCGAATTTTAGCTCTGATTTGAAATGTATTGGTCCCATAATGATGCACAATTTCATGTGATTAATTGCCTATAAGGGAACTCAATTCTCTCACTAGAAAATAGAAAGTCGGTGGATACGTACTCACTTAATTAAGTGCCAATTTAGGCAACTCTGAAGGGGTTGGATTACTATTGGACTCTTGTATTCACTTTTTGACTGGATAAATATAGTTATTTAAGAAAAGCGAAGACTGTAGCAGAACATACTAATAATTTAGAATAATGACTGTATCATTTTTCAGGCGGATAAAAAATTACAATGGCTACCAGTTGAAAGAAAATGATACAACAACGTTACAGAATGCACCTTTCATCAAAAATAAACAAGTCATTGTTTCCAGTCATGGATACACTGGGCATCTGCATTATGCTCCCAACCCAGAGCTTATTGACGGTAAGTTCCACTTTCAAAAGTTGAAATTGATACTTTAATACTTTAAACGAGTGGCTTAATGAGTCACAAAGAGAGGATTGAAATTAGACTCCAATAAGATGTGAATCCTTATGAAAATTTCCCCCAAACTTGTTATAAACGCACAAAAAACTCCTGAAGTAACTCAACAGTAAAAAATGAATGTTTTTAATTTATAATACATTTACATCAAAGTATCAATCAAGAACTCAGCAGGGGCGCAACTTTACTTTAACTTTTCGCAAATTTTTCGATGATATAAGCTACCTAAAAGTACCATGGAGGTGCGGTGATAATACGTGGAATTGAGAATCGAACAATGAGTATCTATGCTCCTTATGCCTTCTTCACACGCTGAAATTGATAAGAGTCAACAGGACACCGAAAAAAAAGTGAAGTTGATTCAACATTCTAGATGTGAAAAAAGTGTGCGAGAACTTATAAAATGCTGAATTACCCGCTACAGTAGTTATTTTAACAATGCCAAGATGGAAAAGTAACTGCTGCGGCGATTAATTCGGCATTTTTAAAGTTCTCGCACACTTTTTTCACATCTTGAATGTTGAATCAACTTCACTTTTTTTTCGGTGGAGAGTAGAAGTTATCTTGGTAACATGTTTGTCTAACTTTTTGATAAGTTTGGAACATATTTTCATGAAAAGGTCAAATTCACGAAATAAAGACTGATCGGCGACCAATGACTTCCGTCTTTAGCAGGTGAACTTGACATTGACTCAGTCTGACAGCAAAACTACAACCAGATTAAACCACCAGACCAGTCTTGCATAGAATAAATGGTTTTAACGAAGAAACAGAATCAAACCTATATACGTGAAAAGTTTTGAGGTAGATAAACGCATGCAATCAAGGGAACTGGTGGACAAGGTGCATACGTGTAGTTTTTGCTGCTTCGAGAAATGCGTGTTTGAAGTTTCGAAATCACATGGATCCTCGTGGCGCGGAGAGAAAGTTCAAACTGACATTTTGAGACTTAAAAATTGGAATTTAGGATCGAATTTTCCACAGAATATGTATTAAGACAAGTTTTACTTGAAACCATCAATACCTTAACTTTCAAAAACTACACGGAAAATGCGCCCTGTCCTCCAAACCCCTCAAATCGTCGCCTCTCTGATGTAAGAGCTTATCTCGATTTCATAATGAGCCCCAGAAAGCTTGGAGTCATGCGTAAAACAGGGCTCATGTGGAAATTGAGATACGCCCTTACGTTAGAGAGGTGACAAAATGTTCTTTCAAAAAAGAAAAAATGACGTTACATCAAGTTACAAGCAAAAATGAAAAAAGAACAAAACCATTCCAATGTGTTCTTTTGTTATATCTTGGTGGATCTTGACTCGTTGTCAAAGAAATGAGGGAAGGATGCGGATTTTTACGATCCATACATAAATGAGGCACGCGTTGGTGTGAGCTATGTCAGACCGTCCCAGAGGTGGATCCAGCAATTTGGCAACACCGGATTTCCTCCATTTAAACCTATGCTGAATAATCGATTCTTGTGGGAGCACCAGGCTACATTTCCATAGGTTTAAATGAAGAAAATACAATGTTGCCAATTTGCTGGATCCGCCAATAGACTGTAAGCTCATGGTCACAATGTGCGTTCGCGGAAGGGTCAGTAGATGATGCCATCGCTGGAACTGCCATTTCTGACGGACGGAATAGTTTTTTGAAAGACTGCCGTGGTTCTAGGGACTAATATTGGGTGTCTGTGGGCGCAGCTTACAACAGGATGCCGGACCCGGTGAACATCATCGTCATCAACTGGGGGCGCCTGTGTCCGCAGCCGTGTTACACTCAGTCGGCCCGCAACGTAGCCCTCGTCGGCAACTGCTCGGCCCTCTTCATCGAAGCCCTTCTCCAGCACCAGACCTGGTTCACACTCAAGGACATCCATTTCATCGGCTTCAGCCTCGGGGCCCAGGTCATGAGTCAGATCTCCCATAAACTTACCATCGGCAAACCATATTGGATCACGGGTTAGTATATCAAAATCACATATCCGTCGCAGACTCATAGTCGAATTAGGTGTATTTTTGCCGAACGGGACCACGTGGTAAAGAAGAGGTGTGCTAGTTTAGTTGAAGGCCGTAAGAATGAATGGGAATTTTAAAGCGCCAGTGACGTCAGTGCGACGACGGGGACAGGAAGATTCAGGTTGACGTCATTTAATTCATGAGTCCTGTCCACAACGCTCATGTCACGGCTCATGAGTCCCGCATACAGCTCGCACATGGTTTCGTTCGGTGAATTTAAAATCCCGCTTTTCCATCTCACCAAAAAGAATCACGCACACTTTTACATTAATGCGCTAGCTTGAAACATGCGCCAGATTATAAAAATCCACAGAAATTGGCCGATGCTGTGAAACATTAACATTTTAAACCACAATAAGCAGCATCGAAGATTTTCAAATTTTAAAACCCGAACTCTCAAAATCAGTTCTCCCGTCTGGAAATCAAGAGTCTAAATTACAATGACCTACATCTTGATTGAAAATTCCTTTATGTACTCAATTTCCTCCTTTATTTTTCAGCGTTGGATCCAGCGTGGCCTTTGTTCGACACAATGACGACATACGCAGAGGAGCGACTGGACATCACCGACGCGGATTTTTTGGACGTTTATCACACAAATGCCGGCTACAAAGGACAACTCACGAGTATCGGTCACGTTGACTTCTACGCCAATCATGCTCTACTACAGCCTGGATGTGGCACAAGTAAGAACATCGTCAGCCGTTCAAACACTCAAAGGATTCGTCATGGTGGCCGAGTATATTAGAAAGGAACCAACCCACATCTTCACAATAACTAAGTTAAGATTGTTTTTGAGTTCCACGAGCCGTATGTTTTCTCCTGCCAAAAAATGAAAGTAAAAAAGCAGAAATTAGTTTGTTAAAGAGAGGTTAAAATTTATCTCCTACAATGAGCCTAATGCAGGAATAAAACTTCAAACCTCTTTTTCTCAAATTCAACTTAACGCGGGTTGGTTCTTTACTGATGGACTCGGTTTCTTCCCCGTGTCCGCGTAGAGAAAAAAAAATTGATTTTGCTTGCTTTAATCATTTATTGATTATGAAATTACTATTGAAGAAAAAAGACTAGAGAAACGTCTACTAATCGATGAACAGTTACTATCTCTCGTATACCCTTTCATGTCGATGAGGATCGCCCGTTTCCCTATAATTTTCGAAATTATAATTTTCAATGAATGTTCACGGATTCGATTTAATGGGACTTTAATAAAAAAATAAATGTTTGACTTTAATTACTTCAATAATTTATTGACTATGAAATTAATAATGAGCGACAAAAGACTAGAGAAAGTTTAAATGAGTGAAACAATCTCTATCTGTCATAAACTCATTCATGTCAATGATGAACTCCCGTTTCTCTAATTTTCTACATTGATTTTCAGTAAATATTCACGCATTCGATTTAATGTGACTCAAGATTTATTTCATTCCTTTGGTCTCTTGAATTATTTTTCTGAAAATTTTGCGATAGCTGAGACACAGCGAGACGGTTACTGTACCAGATCAATTAAATTAACTTGGAAAATACCGTAACGCTCCATAATATAAAATCATACGGTTAACGCGTAACCCATAACTTCTGAGACGCGGAACGTTTAGGAGGAGGGGACCGCAAAGCGGCCCCTTAGTTTATTATGACTTTAGGCCCAGATCTGTTCTTTGCGCAGGCACGAGCAAGCTTCAAAAGTTCCTTTTACTTGCCCCTTTCAGACTCCTCCTGTAATCACGTGCGGGCAGTTTACTACTACGCTGAATCCATCTACACGAAAGTAGGGTTTTACGCCTACTCGTGCCTCAGTATTTTGACCCACCTCACAGGATTCTGCAAACCTGGCCCAGGAGACGAGCTAGTCCTTCTGGGAGCGCATGTAAACCATAGGTAAGCACAACACTGATATCACGTATACAATGGAGTACTCACATGACAGTGGCGATTCTTGAAAGTTGGCAGCTCTGTTTTTCCTCCACTTAAATGTATGCCAAACAATCGATTCCTACCTTGCCTAAAATCAATATTTTCAATGGATTTAAATGGTGGAAAAGCAGTGTTGCCAACTTGCAAAATCTTACTGTTATATGAATAGACTGACCCATCCTTCCATGGGTATATAGGGATCTCAGTCGATGCGAGAAAATTTTTTCAAGTTCGCAATATTTTTAATTTTTTAAAGTTGTTTCTTAAATTGCCCAACGCTGCCGGAGCTACACACCCAACTTTGGGAGAAAATCATTATGTTAATTATCCTGAATTTTGGTGGCGGTTCTGGATACACATGAAATATGGGCATACCCCGTCTCTCGTACTGCTTATCGCTAAACCCATTCATTGCCTCAAAAATTCAAAATCTAGAGTTAAAGAGCATGGATTTCAGGGGTTTTCGGATCTTTGTGAAAACTTTGTTTTTTTTCCTGAAATCCCCTGAAATTTTCTTTCAACGTGAGAATTTTGAATTTCAGTCCATCGCCACTGAAAACATTTTAAGGATATTTACTACCCCAAAAATCTGGGGAGGGACGTAGCTTCAACTCAATGCATTTTTGGGAGAAAAACTTATTTGAAGTAAAAAGTCTTAATTTCATCCATCAAACAAGTGCCTTCAGAATAGTGGTCCCGTCTCGGGACACCCCATATACACGTGCGCTTCGCATGATTCACTGAAGGGGCAAATATACCTGCGAATTACAAGCGCTTGTTGAAAGTGAAACACCGATAGGAATCCAGGATTTCGATCGCTCGACGTCGAGCTATCGAAATTCTCCTTGCCTATTGGTCTTTCACTCTCAACAAGAGCTTGTAACTCGCAGGTGTGTCTAGGCATTTATACAGCAAGCAAATCCATAGTATAAATTCGCCTCTGGACACTCTTTGTCAAATTGTTATGATTTTCCAGTACCCGGGGGACATATTACTTCACAACGAATGACCAGTACCCATTCGCAAGGGGGAAGGTCTTTGACACGCAAGAAGAGCCCATCCAAGCGGAACACCACATGCAATCGGTAGAGCCAGTTCAACCTATGCAACGTCCACTTCCAATTGATCTCAGGCTCTCGGAAATCAAAGCATCGCCCAAGCCTTCCTCGTGATATTGACATCAATCATACTTTACTCTTGGATCAAACTCAGAGAATGTATTGCTGGTGTGCGGAATGCCCAGCAGCCTGATTCTGTGACTCACGCCGAATGGACGTGTAACAATTCTTGAAAGCTGGCCACACTGGGCTTCGTCCATTTAAATGGACATAGAAATCGGCAATATCGATAAAAATCGTTGTAATCGATTTCTATTGATTCTAAGTGAGGCAAGCTCCTCTCGACATTTATAATGAAGTTAAATCGAGGCAGAAGAGCATTGCCAACTTTCAAGAATATGTATTAATTTTGAATAGAGCGAATTAATGGGAGAATTTTAAGTTTTTCAGTGAAAATATATTATTGACATCATAATATTGTCAACCAATTTATGGAAAGCTGTAATAAAAATCCAATTTTTGAGAATAAGCGCATAAGATAACGTGCAACTCACGATTTGAATCCATATTTTGAGATGTGGACTAGAATTAGACTACAATGGATAGCGTGATGCGTATCCACGCAAATTGCCTTCTAGATTACAAATGTGTAGGATATGTTATTATTGTATAAATTGTTTTGGAATTATTTAATTTTAATTTATAAATCTCTGCAAAGTCAAAAACATCTTAAGATTCTCTAGTTCTGGTTTACTTTTAAAATTGTAAACACCGTTGGTGCTGTTATGCTGGATTGCACCTTAAATTCCCCAAAGCATTCCTAATTGTTCGGTTTCTTCTATGATGGTAATCTTACATCTAGAAAAGTGTTATTATTGGGGATATTGAATTCCGTTAAGCATGCGAATTTCATCTAGATTTTATCAAGGAAGAAGGGAGAAACCCTTGCAAAATAACAATGCATTGTGTATTCGCACACGCTTCAAAACTTGCAGCGTTGTTTTATTCTATATGTAACTCCTCTCTCTCCTTCCGTAATTATCCTGGAAATAGCGCCTAAGAAAACATATAAAGTTGGAGATATTGAATCAGATTATAACTTAAAAAAAGACGAAACGTTGTGTATACGTTGGGAATTTTTTTTTTCAAAAAAAGAAAAAGTAAATTAAATTTTACTGATTTTATTGCATACAATTGCACTGTGCAGAAGACAATCACTACTTCGATAGTTTACAAACCACAAAAAGCTGCAAAGAATCACACGATTAGACCCTCCATCCAAGTTTCTAAAAAGTTAGAGATAAGAAAGACATACATTTTTGGTGCGAATCTTTCATGTTCAACTAGACCTAGGTCTGTAAAGCATGCTGATTACTTTTTGCTGATACATATTAACATTATTAGCCATGCTGTTTTCAGTTTTAATGCAGTTTTGAAGGATGGAATTTTATGGTTACTTTTACATCAACACTTTCATTACCTACATTGTATTTATATCCTGACTTCCCAAAAAATGAATAAAAATGTGTACTTAATTCAATTTAACTGACTACGAAATGGTCGCGACTGACATCATCTTAAGCATTACCGACCTTCACGTCATCATTACGCCAACAGCTGAAGTGAAAAATAACAAGAACAAAGTCTAATAAACTGGATAATTGTCAGGTAGTTCGTTTGATAACAGCCATCTTGGAAATCGTGTGAATTAATTAAAATTGTTCAGCGCCCTTATTATCACTCAACAGCCATTGTGTGATTTCCAGTGGTGTGGCGTGATTTGCGATATATCGATTAATCTGTCATTTGAATCCATGGAAAAGTATCGATTAACAGAATGTTCGCAACTAACACCCTAATAACCAATTCTTTACCATATCTTTAAATGAGGTAAGATCGATAATCGACCATTCACGCCTCGCCATTGGTGATTTCCGTCGGGTAGTTCCTTCTTCTTTTGTTTCATCTTTTTAATTTTCATTATCATAAATTACAATAAAAATACACATAAAAGGAATGGACATTAGCCTATAGGAGTAACCTATGAGTGAAAAGAAATACAATTATTCCGATTGAAGTGGATGTCCTCGTTGCGACTCCACTAGTTTTTGAATCCGAATATGCAGCAGGCGGCACTTCTTGGGCAGTGGTTAAAAGGATGGAGGCTTTTGGTCGCATGTAAAATACACCAGTTGGTACTTTGTCACTGTAAAGAAAAAGAAGAAGAAATTTTTTTTCGCAGATTGATATTAATGTACATTGATGTACATGTAAGGACCAAGCAAGCACGCGCGTATAGATTGTAAAAATAATTAATGTTAACACTATTTTCCGAAATAAAAAGTAACAAGGTGTCAGCTTTAAGGTCCCTGAGGGGCCTTTTTGACCTTAGAATTGAAAGTGTTCCTTCGAAGGAAACTTTTAAGAACACCGTAGAAAATCGCATCGCATGCAGAGATTTCCGTTCGATAAACCAGAATTATCTAATTTTAAGTGCGACATACAACACAGTCTTCGGAATAATCCTACATCCTTTTTTTATGAACTTTCAAAAGTCTACATGATTAGCACAGATACTTGCAAAAAAGAATCTTCAAATGATAACAAAGGCACCCTTACTTTGGATCATACTGGGTATTGACACTGCCCGTGTGGACTGTTAAAGTCTCCGGTAGATCACTCATGAAAGCAGAGAGATCGACAGATGTAGTGTCGCTCCCAAGATTAACGACCACCACATAAGTGTCACTTCCAGTCAAACGCCTACAAAATAAAACAAAAATTCAGAAATTGAGGTTTGTTAACAATGTACCATCATATTCAACCGTGAACATGTTTGACTCATATGTCAGGCTTTCTTTAATGTGGGACCGCATCAAAATTCAACTTTCAATGGAATAATTTCTTTTCTCAACGTGACTAAGATCTGGAGTTAATGGGTATGTTGCAAATTTCAGCTATGGTATAGGTGAAATTCGCAACATACCCGTTGCACCTCGCCTATGCAAGCACAAAAGTAAAATTTGACGTATTTCTATTAAACGGAACTAAGTGCATTATGACGTGAGCCCAGTAAGCCCTGTTATGCACATATTCTTAAGGGTCTCAGGGCTCATGTCTTAATGCAGATAGTTCCGTTCGATAGAAACAGTCCAATTGAGACTCCTTCGCCGCAGCACGGAGACCATGCGAGTTCAAAGTTCCCTCTCAATGTAAGGAAATCAGCTTCAACTGAACCATGGCCATGGCAAAAAAGTCCGTCCAGAACTTTGGTGGACCCGACTTTTTTCCATGAAAATTGAACGGATATTTTGTGGAAAACTTATATTTGAGGAGAACAAAGACAAGAGTTGTTCCCTCAAAAAAATTATTCAAAAAAATAACTATGAGCGTGGTGGAGCAGTGCCTCAAAATGCGTCGAAATTACACCAAAGCATGCGCCCGGAACTTAATGTGTTTCTTTCCATGTAAATTTTGCTGTTGCGCTGTCATCATTACACAAATGCATTATTCGGTTGGCACCGATCTCACGCCAAAACTTTTTGATTGTCTACCACTCACCTGGTAAAGGCGAAGACCCATTTGGCGAGCACGTAGGTCTCCACATCTCCGTACAGCATCGTGTCTGTCTTTCGAACATCCATAAGTCTCTTGTATACCTTGTAATGACTTTTTTCGTTACTTTGCATTTGGTCCTTCAGGTTTAAACGCCAGAAGTTGGAATTCACCGGTAACCAAGTTTTCATGCTCGTCGAAAAACCTAAAAAATCATAATACTGAGCTCAGAGTGGAGCTTGCCTATTAGTTGAACAGCCGTTGGATGGCCAAAATGGGAAAATTTGACCCAAGGTGCAGTATTTCGCTGTGCTGAAAATTGACTAATGGAGGAGTTAAACAAAAATTAAACTTGACGAAACATATTTCCTCATCAGTATCTTCTGTAAGAAGGTGGAAACATAAGAAATTTCAATATTTAACTCAAAAGTGAAAAATTAGCGTTTCATATATTCGCCTGTTCAAAGGTCCCACTTGCAACAGCAAATTCACATCGCACGATTTTGGTCACCAATCAGTATCAGGTTTCTTCCCGGTACAACATTTTCTCAGTTTGAGTATTTTTTTTTTTTTTTTGCATTTTTATGTTGACGCTAGTATAGGTTAGTTTGTTGACAAGTCATCGATGCCTTACCCTCTGATGATAAATGAAATGAGAAGATTGAATAATGGTCGTGGGTGTAAAAAACTTTCCTAACTTTTCTCGGAAAAAATATTCGGGAGAAACGAGGCGAATGCTTATAACGGCGTCGCAACACAACATGGGCCTTTTCAGCTCTATTATTCGATGCCGCGATTATCCTAACACGAGTTCGAATAATCGGAACTTCTCGGTATCAGAAAAATTCGCCCAATCCTATGCATCTCCAAAAAGGGAAAAAGGGGGTATTTGCGTGATCCTATCGCAGCCATTAACTGGAAAAAAAACACATTGGATTTAGAGTCCAGAATCTTAAAAACGTCGACAAGAAAAAGTACTCTTGGTTCCATCAGAATCTAGCTTAAATCAAGAACAAAGCCTCTCAATTTAAGCGGATTTCGTTTTGACTCAAGCAAAAATCCGATTGAATCAAGATTATTTTTTCTTTTCAATGTTTTCAAGAGTCTGGACTCTAGATCCAATGTGTTTTTTTTCCAGTGAATCCTATCGCAGTCATTCGTCACTGCTCATGACCAAGGTTTTCTAACGTCTAACCTGCGTTCAAGGAGGTGTCCCACTGGAAGGGTGTTCTCTCGGGGTCCCTGGTGACGCGATTGAACCAATCCTTGTCGAACTGGCAGGCCTGTGGGTCGACACCCTCGTCGAATCTGATAGCTGCGTCGTCCATACCGATCTCATCCCCGTAGTACGTGTTCCCGGTCCCGGGGAGTAAGAGCGCTATCATGTTCATGCCGTCTACGAGATCCGTACCGTATCTTGCCGCTATCCGATGGTTGTCGTGGTTCCCTATCTGGTCATAAGAATTTTAGACGAATCAACAATCAAAAAAAAGAAAAAAGGAAAGGGTGGAGGATGAGAGGGGAAAGGGAGGGAGAAAGAGGAAGAAGGGGAGAGGGGGAGGAGATAGAGTAAGAGAGAAAGGCGTGAGGAGCAAGGTCAGAGGGAAAGTCTGACTCAAGAGAAAAAAAACGCCTTCAATTGAGAATGCTACTGCGCAACACGCGTAAGCTTGAATAATTGTATCATTCCATTACCTATTATTTACGATAATCTAATGGCTCAAATCAGAATCCAGTGAGAGAGGGGGTAGGGAGAGGGAAGGAGAGAGAAAAAGAGAGGAATAAACCCGAATGACTATGTTACTTTTAGAGCGTCGTGGGATACTTACGACCTAAATTAAGTTCCTTACGAGGAAAAACACAAGGTTGTTTCAACCTTTGATAGAAATTATCGTGTTTTGCGATTTTCATGGGTTTGTAATTTGATTTACGTAGTTTTTTCTCTTTTTCGAGCCTCATTCAGCTCAGTGGCGATTTTTCAAGTTGGCAACAAAATTTTTGCAACATTTAAATCCATTAAAAACCTCGATTTCAGGTGAGGCAAGCTGTCTCAATAAGAGTCGTTGGTGGGGCGGAGGTTGAGATGATGAAGGAATTCTTTAGGGTTGATTCCTTATTCAACTACCAAGTTCCTGGTCATACGTTCAACCTAGAATAGCGGAGATCAAAGCCCAGCCCAATGGATGATTAGATTATAAGATCATTATAAAACCACCACTTCTTATTTTTTGGGCAAACATTCTCGAGTGGATTCGCCTTCTGTGACTTTAACCAATACAGGAAATCATCAAACATTGGCACTCACAACTTCAAGAGGTTTGTGTCGTGGGGCGTGTTTATCTCACCTGTGAAGAGCATGGATTAAAATATTCATACTGAAGGCTCCTTAAATCCTACGCGACTTAGTTATATTGTCTCTGCCCTTTAAATCTTAAAACGTGATTTGTAATAATTGATTTATGGTTGCGGAAATAAATCTGCTTTCAAATTGCATTACCACTTTCCGATAAACATGAAGACATTTAAGTCTCTGATATTGAGACTGTACATTAGATCTTAAAAATTGTACCTTTTAGGTGATGCACCTTAATGGTGCATTTTGTCTTCTCAATGATCAAACGTGTTTTTTACACACTGGAGCAATTATTTTTCATCACTTCCATTGAGCGCTAGAAGAGGTATAGAGTAAAAGATGTGACATGTCTATGAAATGGAGGGAGACTTTTTTCAGAAAGAGAAAATTCTACATGTGAGAAAAATTATATATTGTAAAAGTTAATGTCTACGCATACCAGAAAGCAAGAAAAACCAGAATTGGACTCCTTTCATGTTCATTGCGGTTAAGCGCTGTAATAAATGTACTAATACTAATTTATAAAACTATTTGGAAACTAGGATTTGATACTCTTTGATCAACTTACCACCCAGTTAGCCGAGTGTCCCGCTGGCATGCCCTGCATCCAGCCTTGGATAGCTCTCTGGTAATCTTTTGCGGGCGACCGTCCATTGACATGAGTGATGAAAAAGAAATTAAAAGGCATGTGAGCTCCCGGCTTTCCGTTGTACTGATAAAAACCCAGCGTCTTATCCAGCGTTGTATAAGCCTCAGTCATCATTACTCTGCAATTAAAACATTCGGATTTGTTCCGATAATTGAGATCCAAAACTAGAGCTCAGATCCCGCAAGAATCTAGGTATCGAAATTTACACAATGTTGCTTTCGGTATAGCTCCAATAATAGTCGTATAACTGGAGAGGAACGCTTTTACGCCTCTAAAAATATTTGAATACTTTATATGAAAAACTTTAAACACATTGTAAATTTTGTAAAACCAACCTTAAAAAAATTGTTTTAATTAATGTTCTAGGGGCTTCAAAGTAAAGTTAAAACTTAATAACATTTTTGTGAAAAGGGTGTTAATACTCTTCAGAGATTTTTAGACACATAAAAATATGTTAAAAATTTATTATGTTTTCTAAAATACTTTTCCACATGAATTCTACCTTAAAAAATCCTGAGAGATCCCCTGGAGTATAATTTTCATATTTTTAATGGTCATTAGTGTTTCTAGAAATATTTCAAATTCCCTAAAGGCACGATTCGTTTGACCTTACCTGGTTCGGCCGTCTTTTTTACTGTAGGAGTCGAAAATCTCTCTGAATCTCGTTACCATCTCGTATGTGGCTGGCTGATCCATCGTCCTTGATCGATTGTAGTTCAAGAAAAAGTTGGGGTCCAGATCGGGCGCCAGCAGCTCTTGATCTCTCCATAGCGGATCCTCAAACATGAAGTTGATGGCGTCTAAACGCAGCCCATCTACACCGCGGTCCAGCCAAAACCTAACAACATCCTGCAAGAATGGAGAGCGATATTCATTTAAGTGGTTTGAAAATGGTTATTTTAGGATTTTTGCCACAACTTTCAATTAAGATGCTATTAATAGAAAGCTAAATCACTTACCATCATTTCTTGGACAAGTTCTTTACATTCATAATTCAAGTCTGGTTGTTTCTGGTGGAACTGGTGTAAAAAGTATTGCTGTCTTTCGTCGTTCCATTTCCACATGGAGCCTCCAAACTCGCTTATCTGTATGAACAGAACAAAACAGTCTTAAACTCGTTCGTATTTTTTTTAAAAAAGTATTTCATGATAATATTATAACGATATTGATTCTAAAAATCTACTTTTTCAACTACGAGGTAATTGTTTTACCTGATGTAGAATATAGATTAGCATGGATTTTAAGATTGATCGATAAACAGTTCAAACTTAGAATATTCAACCTTCAGAGCACAGAGACGCATGTCATGAACATTTAATGAGTCCAACTTAATAGAGTAATATTCAGACTCCAGCATTGCATACTGCCTCATATGAAGGCGAACATGAACTGCAAAAGACCTAACACCGCTGACCTCAGAGGATGGTCAGGGTAATAAGACATTTTTAATATTAAGTGAATTATTTTGAAAATCACCCAGTTGGTTGGTGGTTTCCTTTGACCATTGACCATCTTGGCGTCCTTCCAAACGTAGTAGTTTGTGTACGGATCGACTTTTTTGATAGACCACTGAAACCATGGATGTTCATCACTTGTATGATTCGGGACAAAATCCAGCAGAAGCCGTATTCCTGGAAATTCCAAATTTCGTCAGTAATGTCCTGGCATATTCTTAGTATTGGCAAACAAATAGAATTGATTTTATCGGGATGCAAAAATTATCAAATTTTTAAATTATCAAATAGAATTGTCTTTTTAACGTATATCACAAATGATTTTGGAAATCAGAAACGTTTAAACATTAGTTATCCATGAATACTAGAGGAGAAGTGTGATGTAAAATTTCTTGAAAAAAAAAAAACTAATTCAATGTGGTGACTTTTTCCCCTAAAAAACGGCAGATATATCTCAGGACGAAGTTTACACTGATATAACTTTATTTCGATAATCGAAATAAGGAAGTGCATAGAGAAATGACGTCTTCCCAAAAATATTTAAAAATTAGAGGTTTATAATTTTTCGGTATTATTCATCGTCAGCAGAAATTAATCAGTTTTTGGTGAGAGGATATCTGAATAATTGTCAGTATAGATATGAGAAATACAAATTTTAAAAAAGTTAACCTGCTTTATGAAGAGCGTCTCTCAAGTACTCCAGATCTTCTAAAGTTCCAAAAAGGGGGTCGATACGTGTGTAGTTGGAAATGTCATATCCCAGATCCAAGCCAGGAGAATCAAATATTGGGTTGAACCATATCGCTGACACGCCTAGATCTTTTAAATACCATACTTTTTCCGCTATACCTAAAAAAATTGATTCTCATTGAAAAAAACTCTATTGGATGAACTGATGAGAATTTACCGCATATTACAAATAAAATTATTTTTATCATGTCAAAAAGAAATAAACAGACTCTCGCTGTATTGGTTGCAATGAAAATATTGTGTAAAATATTTAATTTTAGTTATCAAACCACTTAAAAATGTATTAAGTTCCAACTCATTGTTCCTGATTAGTGGTAAAATTGTCTTACTTCAAAAATAGAATGAATACGTATGAAAACTAATGTTAGTGGCTACTATAATCTGACTATGATGTATAGAATTCCAAGAAAATTATGTGGCCAATAATAGATACGTATTTTAGATGTTTTTACATGTGCATTGAAAGGTTTTTTTTTTTTTTTTTTTTTTTTTTTTTTTTTTTTTTTTTTTTTTTTTTAAGCGTGCCAGTAGGGCTCGCTTTTTGAAATCACTCGGATGTACCATAGTACAGCACACAGATCAACCAATGCTATTCAACGGGTCGTCCAAATACTTTTTTCCTCGCACCCGTTTCTTTGTCTTTGAACCATTACACTGTCAAGCCCTGATGGTCTTTTACCAAAAAATCTAATGAACTGCTAATTGGAAACCCTTGAGAACATTTTTCTGTCAAAACCGTATTATTCAATTTGACAGAAACCTCATAGGAGCTTTCTTACGCTCGGAGGACTCAACTCTAGAACCTTCTCTCCCGCCAAAACTCTATAGCCAATGAGCGTCTTGCACTGTAAGTGCAATCTGTGATGAGCCTCGTGACTCATTATACTATGTACTAACCATGGCCCCTGCCGAAATCCACTTAAACCACTACAGTTATCTCGCGATATAGCTTTGGGTGTCCGGTTTCGAGCAAGGCAATAAAAGACGGCGAGGCGATTAACCGATTAACCATTCACCGTGATGCCAGGATCCACCAAATTTTCTCAAAAATTGTTTTCCGTCTATTTAGCGAGTTTTTCTTTACTTTCCGTTGAAGTACAAATAAAAAGAGACCTCATTTGTAAAAATCGGCCGAATAGGAGAGAAGTTACAGTTCGAAATCCAAAGAGATTAACTCAACGCGATTTCGATGCACGGCAGTTCGCCCAAATCACGGTCGTGCGAAATGCCGCATATCAGCTTAAAATCAAGATAATTGGACGGAATCTTTAAAATCAACTTACATTCAACGTTCATGAATCAATATTTTCTCCCAAATTTAGCAAAAAGTACCAATTGATGCAAATAACAAAGACGTGAAAATAGTAGGTATGTGTCCAACATTTTAGTTATTCGGCACGCTTTTCCAACATATTCATATTGGATTTTTCTGCTTGTTTTTTTTTATATATATTTAAATCTTGCATCTGGTTTTATGAACCAGCCGCATGATAATCTCTCTCTGCCATCTTGTATAGTGTGTTTGATTTCCTGAGGATCATATCAAAACGGGAATCACGCTGCTAACATATTCTTTTAGCTGCGAAATTTGAAGTTATATAATCGTGAAAGAATATTTGATTCCTTACCTCGCAGATCTCCAACACCATCGCCGTTACTGTCTTTGAAGGACCTAGGGTAAATTTGGTAAAAAACCCCTCGTTGCCACCAATCAAGAGGTTTTTGCTCCAAAACAGACGATTCTGCGTGAAATTCGGTCACTAGACCGATAATCATTAAAGCTACCGTAAATTTGCACATTATCTCTAACAGCATCACGACAAAGCTCTTGCAACTCAGCCTACTCTTATTTTTTAAATTTACCTGAATATTATGTACAGTACAAGTATATTAAAAAGAATGATAACGACGCCCAAACCGTACTAGCATGCTTGCCGGCCTTTTAAACCAGAGGGATTGCCCGCAACAATTATGGAGCGGACTTGATTGCAGAATGCAAGATTTTCCAATAGACACTTGAGTTTATCTCAGAAATATAAAAATATGCTTGTTTATGAGTAAAAATTTTTTCTTTCTTTTTTATGGAGTAATCTGTCGCTCTTGTATGGTCCCTAGTTTGCTTGTTTCTCAGTTTTTAAAATGAAACATCTGTTTTATTGAGTGGATACTCAGGAATTATTAGCTCATAACTTGCAATTCGCCTTGCTTTCATTGTTCGTTCAGGAAGGCTTACAACGCTTGCAAGCTTCGCTATAAAGGGACAAACCGAGAGAAGAAGTACGTACTCTTAGAAAGCACTATATATTCTATCAACTAACTTTTATATAAAACCCACGTTTCTCTTTCGAAGTGACAGCCTAGTTCTTGCATGCATTTTAAAATATTAATTACAAGTTTTCGTGGAAGATACGCAGAAACACATCGTGTGAAAGTCTGGAACATCCGAGGGGTCACCTTATTTGAGGGGACCAACCCTTTCAATTAGATTGTCTAAAGAGAAATTTCACGTAATTTTTACCAAAAAATGAAATGGAAGAGAATTTCTAGAATGAAAGAAATATTCTCTACCAAATGATTTGAATAAGAAGCAGTGGATTTACAATTGAGCTCACTATTTTTATAAAATTAAGGTGATTCGATGGACGACATATTTTGTGTCAGAACGGCATGCGATACATCGCATCAATTGGTTCCATTTTTTCAGCCACTCATCATTTTTCTCCAATTTTGAGATCGCAATTCTGTTGTCAGGAGACTAAAACACTCACTTACCAATTTTAACAAAGAAATTCAACGTAATAAAGGCGTGGTTTTTTTAGAGAGAAAATATCGCATTCGTTTTTTATTCCGTTGAATTTCTTTGTTAAAATTGGTAATAGTCCAGTCATTCTAGCTTTTTACCTCGGACAAATTAGCACAAACTTTTCCTTTGGTATATAGGGTCTCTAGGTACCCAATAAGACAGAAAAAAAAGTTTACCAAAAAATTCCACCGGGAAAGTGGTCAAATCGCAGTTTTTCAAAATGGCGGCTTGCGGCGAATTTCAAAGAGGACTTGCATACGGATTTTCATTTATAACTCAAAAATANTCGCATGCCGTTCTGACACAAAATATGGCGTTCATCGAATCACCTTAACTGATTACTTCAATTTATTCATTTATCTAATTGATTGTATACAAAATTAACTCATATTTTAGACTCTTCAACCTTTGATTAAAAACAAATTACGAGAGAAAAAACCCAATAAAAACCCCAGAAGGAGGCAGGTCTAGCGTAATCTTAAAAGAAGATGCATTGTATAGGTCTAGAAATGTTACAAAAAAAAGTTCAATACTTACCCCTAAAACATAAGCTTGATGGTTCAGCCTATATTGAAATTGCTTTTGATGTAAGTTCTGAGACAAATGAGGGAATGAATAAATGAAAATCAAATCATCATGTAATAAATAGTCGCAACATTTTATTTACATATTCACATATACTTTACAACTTTTTTTTGTCACTTCCATAAGAGTTTTTCACAAATCGTCACCAATTTCTGCTTTGAAACATTTTCTTCTAGGTCTTGATGATTTTAAACATATTCTATCTATAATTCTAAAAGGAGTTTTTTTTATTGATCTCTGCCTCAATTTTTCGCGAAAAGAGATAATTGGACTACATTTTGCAACAAGGAACCACTATTTCTGGGCCTTTTTAGAAACAACATACATGTCATTAGTTTCCCCATGCAGATATGTGGTTTCATGGGAGTGCCAGCTATAGTGGTTCCTTATTGCAATATGTAATCCAATTGTACCGCGCATATTTCCAAAATCTAAGGTAAAGAGCAACCCTGCTAGAGCTGTGAGAAAACGTTTTGCCCAGAGAAAGAACAGTTGTCCAGGGTGGATTTCTATTAGTAGTGATAAATCTTCGCTCAGATGAAGCGAGTAAAACTTTTCCAATAAAAAGACCCTCTTTGTGCTGGGGAGCTAACTGACCTCGTCAGACATCAGTGCTTTGTGTTGATCCGGCGGCATTGAACTGCTTTCGGGCAATTTTGTTTGATTACAGCTGGTCCACGATCTGATATCATTGAACAAAGAAAAAAAGCCAATATTATAACTCATTTCAAGGTAGAAAAAATGACGGATCAAAAACAGACATTTTGCAAATAGACATGATCAGATATTTCGAATATGCACAACATAAATGAAGACATAAAGATTCGAGATTTCATACGGGAGGGGTAAATTATTCGCTATTTCATTTGGCGACTCATAACCAAGAATATTTGAAATATCCATTAGAGCCTTTAAGGTTTGCGTAAATTTACCAATTTTTGTCGGGAAATCTTTACCTCGCGTCGCCAAACTCTGCCCTGCAAAAAGAAACGCTTAGTACATTGTGAGTAAACAATTGCTCATCATAAGTCGTTTTTTCTTTAAGAAAATTGTATTTTCTCTCATCCGAAGAAAAACAGAATGCAAAAAAGGACTAATGCCGGAATCTCAGAGTATGAAAAACGGTATGGAAATTAAAAAAAATCTTAAGACACCATATAAATTGGTCAATATTTTGGTAGATCTTTTCTACTTAGACTGAATTCTTCATGGGTAGTGTGATTTTTGTTTTCTCTTTAATAGAAAATCATGTTATAAGGAGTTCGAGCGACAAGAGAACGTCTGTGAGTGTTGAGCAAGAGCAACTAAAAAGACCATTCCAGCCAAACATTTATAAATGCGAAAAATGAGCATCTCAGTTGTTACATTCCAAAATCTCCCATCATGTTTTGTTTTTTTCAAGGGCAAGCTGATCAAAATTTTATCTTACAATTCTATGTGATTTCTTTAAAAAGTAAGTGAAAAAAGTCTTAGAAAAAATCACTAGAAACTGCTGGTGAGTGTGTCCACAAAACGACAAAACATGAGTGGAAACTTACAACGTCGCAATCTGAGGTCCGCAATTAGGAGCCCATTTTCTCACTTTTTTTCGTTCATATGACTCACAGGAAAATCAAATGCTTTCCTTTTCCTCAACGAATGATGAATGTAAATGCCTTAAAAATTTGTATGGAATACAAAGCGGAAAAGTAATTATGTTTATGATGTTGGAGTGTTGGGCTTATGTAGAGTGGACATGTGAACATCGTTTTCCTTTTCCTTTTGAAACACGATTTACTGGTAGTTACCTGCCACTGCTGTTGAACTGGTTTTTAAATTCTGGTTTTCGAAGTCGAGTGAGGCCGTAAATGAAAGGGTTCACCAGGCTGATTGGCATGCCAAAAAAGAATATCCATGATTTTAGTCTTTCACCTATCTGTAATGGATTTTTGAAACGTAAGTATTTTCTTTACACAAGTATCACAAGTCATGAGAATGAGAAGAATATATGCCCAAAAATGTAGTTTTCCCACGCCGTAGAGAAAGCTTCAAACTGTTTAAATGATTGCCTCAAAGTTGAATCACTAAATTGCACTTCCTCCCTGTCTCTCATTTTTTTGCCCTCCAAAACGGACGACATTTTTGAAAAGGAGGATACAAAGTGAAGAGGGTTCCACTTGTTTTATCACATTTTCTTACTTTCTGTTGAATTTGATGCGGTTCAAATCTACATGATATGGTTTTAAGAATCAATTTCGATTGTTTAGAATGAGTTGAATATAATAAACTAGTAGAGTGATAATACTATTTACAACTTTTCTACTACATTTATATTCGAATATATTAAATATAACCAATCACCTGGCTGTCGGGTCTGAGGAAAAGCAGTATAATCATCATGGTGTAGTAAGGCGTCCAGAAAATTATGAAGACTAGAATAATAACCGTGGCCATCCAAAAAGATTTCATCTTCGCTCGCTCCAAGAACTGCCTCCTATTCTCGTTTCCCACGACTAGGTCTCCATTAGGAACGCTGATATTTCTGCTACTCCCTAGAATTTTAAACTTTCATGAAAACTGAAGAACACAACAGTTTTGAGAGAGGTAATAATATGTATATACAACTAAAATGCGTATAAGTAAGTCCATAACAAATGGTCTAGATAGAGTCCTACAATTTTTTGTATAGGCAACTGTCTATACGTTAAAATTTTACATGTCAGTGATTGTAGGCGTTTTTCGTGCGTCATTTTGTTGCCAAAGGTAAAAAAAAACAAGTATATTTGTGTTCTATATAGGAGAAAATATTCCATATTTCTTTTCAAAATTACCTCTAAATACTTTTGGCTACATTTAAATGCACAGACATGCGTTTTGCTTGTTTCTTGGTTGGTTGGATTGTTCTCCTCAGATTGATTTGAATTCAGACACAAGTTACTTCATGAAAAAATAAAATGATTTTTTTTTTTTTTTTTTTTTTTTTTTTTTTTTTTTTTTACAATTGTTCAAAAATGAGAAATTAACATGAGAAACACAATAATTACTTAAGTTCCTCCAGAAAAAATGGATTTTCTTTCATTCATTGCGAATCACGAACAAAAGATTTAAGAGGGTTACAGCTAGTTTTTAAAGTGTATTAGGAAACATGATGTTAAAAATTTCTACGTCTAGCTGAAGCAGACATATTATAAATCAGATTTTATAAAGATCAAATATCTTTGCGGCTTACTTGCAATAATCATGATTGTATTAGTGTATGAGTTGACAAGAAGAGCCAATGGGAGGACGAACATAGTGAATATATTAAATACAGGATACACAAGTTCTTGCCATGGCTCTTGGTAAAATCCATGAGTAACGCACTGGTAAAATTCTTCATTAAACGGCCCTTTTGTTACCCGGAAAATGAAAATCTGAAACGAGATATTCATAGATGTTATAGAATACTTGGCATACTAGGAATGAAACTAACCATAAATTTCAACACCAATCTATTGGCAGCGGCGATTCTTAAAAGTTGACAACACTGTTACCTCCATTGAAATATTTGCAAAACAATCGATTCTTGGTGAGGCACCGTGCCTCACCTAATATCGATATTTTTAATGGATAAATGGAGAAAAAAGAGTCTTAACAACTTACAAAATTCCTACTGTTTATTGGAATGACCGCCTTTAAAAAAATTTCTTCGGTAAAGATTATTATTAGACTATAAATCTAAGATGTACTGCATCTATAAGAATATATACTTTGATCAAAATATAATAATTTTTTTAGCATAGCTAAAACATGAAGCATTCATGAGAATACTATACGGAATAAAAAAAAATATGCCAAAACACGCATTCTTCATTTGTGTTATAATTTATAATGAACTTCATTTTGGAAATATATCCCATCTTCAGCAAGATTTACACAGACACTATCAAATTAGAACAAATAAATATCGCAATGTATAGTAACTTAAAAATATAACAAAATGGTAATGTAGCAATGAAAAACCAACATAGTTATTAAACTATCAAAATAGAACAACGCATCTACAAGAGAAATCACCAAGCATGTAAATAGAGCTCAAGAGAAAAAATTAAAAAGGCTGAGGCTAAATTATAACATAACAATGCGTGTTTTGGCATATATTTTTCACTTCATTGGTAACCAAACGCGAGATGCGTTTATCTAATTAGAATATTAGTCTTACATATACCATCGAGAGAAGTTAGCGGTTCTGGTTCCAACCTTACCAAAAAAACTGACTTTGAACAAGCGAGTGCTTCAAAGTTAAAGCTATCTGTTCTTGTACGAAAGTTAACGACCTTGCTTGGAACTAACCTGAGGCAGGCTAAGAATAGTGCTCAAAATCCAAATGCCACATATAGCTCGAGATGTAGTATTTTTTGAGATTGACCTGATTGGATATCGGACAGCCATGAACCTGTCGATTCCGATGTGAACCAATATGAACGTTGACAGGTGCAAACTTAGCATTTGACCAAACTTGAAAAACTTGCAAAGTGCGTTCCCCACCTTCCACTGGACGCTCAGTCCCCATATTGAGTCCCCTGTTAACAACAAAAAAGCAAATTTTACAAAATTTAAATTCAAGGGATGTTCCTGAGACGAAATGTCACGAAAAAAGCAATGGCGCCACTCTCATAATTTTTGTTTCATATATATTTTTGAAAATATAAGCTTAAAAGTTTCCAGATTTTTCCCGACTTATCTTATCGACTCGGTCCTTTTTGCGCCGGTCGTCTTTACCGATTCGCTGACTTGATGATCAACATGCATGACACCGCGCATTGCGCTTAAAATATTGAGCTTTACCTGGACGTATTTCTGCAAAACGAAACTAAAGACGAATGGGAAAGATGAGGTACAGTGGCGTGGCGTGAATTGCGATGTATCGATTGTTATGCCATTTAAACCTATGGAAAAGGATCGATAAACAGGGTGTTCGCAGCGAACACCTTAATAATCGATTCTTTACCATAGGTTTAAATGGCATAACAATCGATACATTGCAATTCACGCCACGCCACTGATGAGGTATGCTCTGGAAAGCTCCATAAGAAATGTAAAAGTGGTGTTGATTCCTTTTGAAGAAATAGAAAGGCAAGATTTTACATTCTGCTTAACGGAACCATGTGCCAACTAAATTGGGCACTCATGAGCCATAAGTATGTGACAAGAGCGTTGTCAACAGGGCTCATGAGTTAATAATTCACCCGGCGACCGCGGTGCCGGCCTCGTTACCGCTGACGTCACTGGCGCTTCGTAATTCCCATTCATTCTTACGGCCCTCAACTAATGAGCACACCCCTTCTTTCCCACGTTTCTCTGATTCTGCTTGGCAAAAATACGCACTGAAAAACCCCAATTACGGACTTCATAGACATACCGTCCTTTCCGGGCGCAGAGACCGAAAGTTCCTGGTTCTGGAGTCGTAGCTTCGGTTGCTCCGGGTGCGGAAATTTCGGTCTCCAAGCCCGGAACGCGGATGGTATGTCTATACTGCCCGTAAGTATGGCTTCCACGGCCGGAGCTTTTTTTTCAATGCGTCCATCTGTGAAGAGGTACCTACCTGTCAAGCAGAAGATAGTGACGAGGAGGTCGGCGATGGAGAGGTGGAACTGGAGGAAGGCCATGGACTTGGACTTGGGCTTGAATCGCGAGAACTTGAGGGCGATGAGGACGTAGACGTTGGAGGTGTAGGAGACGAGGGCCATGGCCAGGAGGATGACCGAGCGGATGAGCCGCTCCTCGGTGAGGGTGGGTGCCGGCGCTGAGCAGGGCTCCCGACTTACGTCGTCGGCCATCGATGGAGATCCCGCCGCCTCCGCGCAGAGACTCGCGTTCATCGCCACCATCATCGCGCTTCGGGCTTCGTCATTCGCTGCAGCATCTTCACCCGCTTCAAATTGACACGCCTGAGAGGAAAAACTGACTTAGAATGGTATTTCTCAATTAAAAAGTTACAGTGAAGGCTCCAGGTCAATGGACGGACCTGAGAGAAAAAAAAGCAGGCTCAAGTTTTTTTTAAAGGTGGAGTTGCGATGAAGTTTCAATGGAGATATTGCAAGTGTGAGGAATTTGCGATTTGACTGTTGATTCCTACCTAAAAGTTCGCGAGGAACACGATGGTGCCACTCGTTTTCTTTGAAATCAACTCCCAAGCTCAAAAAAGCTCTCAAAGTGAGGCCAAAATGGAGGGGATATCCCACGCTATCATGAGAGTCCACCTCTACATCAAGACAAACTCTCCATGCAAAGATAGGGAGCAAATACATTGACAGGGCTGCCACTTTATTTGGGGACTCTTGAACTGAAAACACGGCATCACTGCTAATGTGTTTGCTACCTATCTTTGCATGGAGAGTTTGTCTTGATGTAGGGGTAGACTCTCAGGATAGCGTGGAATATTCCCTCCATTTTGGCCTCAACTTGAGAACTTTTTTTGAGATTGGGAGTTCATTTCAGAGAAAGCCAGTGGCGCCATCGTGTTTCTTACGAACTTTTACATAAGAATCAACAATCAAATCGCAAATTCTTTACACATGCAACATTTACATTGAAAAGTTGCAGTGAAGTCTCAGGTCAATGGACAGACTTGCGAGAGAAAAAAAAAAAGCAGACTCGAGTTTTTTTTTAAAGGTGAAGTTGCGATGAAGTTCCAATTAGACTTCATGACTGAGAGAAAGGCATGTTAGGGTAGTGTCGTTCAATGGTATATGGACCGCGTTAAGCAGAAAGGAACCAAGCCACATCAGCTATTGTCAAAATTTGAAAGGGCATTTAACTTTTTACATGAAAACGGTTGTGCGGATTCTTTTGCAAATTTTAATGAGAAGTAAAGCTCTACATGAATCGGTCATTTAATTGTTAAATTGGTTGGTCCAATTGTTTTGGTATTTACTAACTCTACTCAAAACACTCAAGCATGATAACAATTTCAATGATTCAAATGCTCCTGAGCCCTTGTGAAATCTGGGAATTACCTGTCGCAGTCTGGACGATATGACGCGCTACATTCTCTCCGTTCGTTTTACCCGTCGTTTCATTTGCTTGGATTAGATTTTTTACCGACGAAAATGAATAAAAAGCTGAGCAAGCTATGATCATACACCAGAATTCGGTTATCACTATTCTTGGTTTGTAAAGTCCAATGTGGGTATGTTTAGCTACTGCTCTCGTCGAAATCCCAACGAACAGAATATATTCGAGGCCTTCAATTGATCATTTTTTTTTTGTTATTAGTTGGAACGGCGTCTAAATTGTTGAGTTTGATTCGCGGTTTTCCTCCTCCCAAAAACTTGCTGAAACAGTAGAATAAGATAATTTTGCAAATCTCAGAGAGCTTGATTACAAGTTCAAAAAATATGTTCAAATGAAAAAAACATAAAAGTGCACCTGAAATATTTTTTTTGCTGATTGTAGGGAAAAACTCAATGAGCATCTGGATACAACTCGAGCAAAAAAAAAAATATTTGAGGAGTTAAAGAGCTTATGGTAATGTGGTGCATGGCTTTCCCCAGAGTATTTGAAAAGGGGAATGGGAAAGTAAAATAGTAATTGGACGTATTTCTGCTCAATGGAACTAAGTGCATTATGGCGTGAGCCCTTTCATGCATATATTCTTATCGGTCTCAAAGCTCACGTCATAATGCACATAGTTCAGTTTGGCAGAAATTCGTACAGTAATTACTACTCGCGATCAAAAACGTACCTGAAGTCGGAATTTGTGTTTTAAGCTATCCATACGCTCTGCTGTTTTCCGTTAAGACAGTATATCCCTCAGTAAAATCTTAAATAAGATTATAATTCAGTCGTAAAAAAGTCATTAAATAATCAAATGATCAGACGGCACGGCCAGTGTGTCAACTCAAAACCCTTTCAAAATACTTCGCATACCTTTTTTTTACACACAACAAAGGTAGAGGAGGTAACTGTTATATAACGTCAAGAGAGCTAATACATCAGTGAATCGAGTTTAAAAGATGCCAATTTTCTTACGAAATAATTGAACTCGGACGACGTTCGTCAATAGGTCACGGAGTATTACATATGGACTTATTTGTGCTAAAAGGTACTATGTCTCACGCAAATCCTATGCACATATTTCCTTTTAGCATAAATACGTCCACATGACTGAAATATAATGCAAAAAATTAATTTCTTCTTGGTTTGTATATACTTTTTTGCGAGGTGGGATCTCCAGATTTTTTAGAATTAATGGAATTTTTTTGCTTTAATGTTTTCGTTTCATAATGCTGGTGTGATACTACCAGGAGATAAGATTACACCTAGCCACAACCAATGTTGGCAATCGCAAACTGTACAGCCTGTTCTTCAAGCATTTTGCCATCTTATAGTGACAGTGAACATGTTTTAAAAATTATGACATCAATGAGGGAGGAAATATGCAATTTAAAATGTAGCTCGTTATATAAGTAAAGAAAAAAGAATTTACCATTTCAGGATTCCTTTAAATTTTCAAGCGTGCGTTTTACTTATGTGAGAAGAATGAGCATCAATAGAAATTTGTCGTTGTGCGAATAAAATAAATTCCACAACAGACTGTGCGGTGTTACAAAATAAACAATGAATTTATAATTCATAAATTGCCGATGAAATCAATGGATTTTTTTATCCCAAGGGAGATTAAGGTCTAACAAGGTCTAATAGGTCGACTAATTTAATTAGAGCACACTAAGAACACGGTTGTTGACAGAGCCGTCAAATTTTGGTGTGTATTGCATCCGACAAGAATCTGCAATCCGATTGTCAATGGTTCGACTAGATCGCCAGGTGGATGACCCAATCACCAGTATTGTCGGCGGATTATAAAGTTCCGGGCAAAGCATCCAGCGAAATTTTATGACTCCGTTGATGACCCCATTTTAGTGTAAAATATGCCAAGATATATCAAGTAACACTTTCCTTGTGACGAACAAAATTTTCCCCACAGAAATGAGATTGACTTCGTTGCCATGACAAAAAAAAAAAAAAAAAAAAAAAAAAAAAAAATCACTGTTGCGTAAAATATGTTTTTGTCACAGCAAAGATTTTAACTAAGAAGTTCAAAAAATTGCCCCTCTGGCGTAACGGGTATTTTTCTTATAATCTGCGCTGGAGGAGACTTTGAGGTAAACAATTTTTTTCATGTATAGTAAATCCGATTTTCCCCCGTGTATTTCCTTCATTCAACGGATCTCAATGACAGGTCAGACATTGACACTGAAATGTTCATTTCTCGGTAAAACCGAGTATATTTCGAAAATATTCTTAAACCTGTCCTACCATTCGTCGATTTGAGCTTAAACATGTTAAATGGTTGTTGTCACACCGAATACCAAAATTTGTGTCTAATTTCTTGCTCAAACATATCGTTAAGACATTTTTCAAAATATTGTTGAAAAAACGTAAATTTCTGTAAATAGCGGACCTAATTTTTTCTGATATTTAAATAAAATCATTTCTGAAATGTGCCGAAAAGACTGCCGGAAAAGTTTAAGAATTACTTTTAAATTAGTTTTATGATAAAGTTGTCGTGGTGTGTTCGAGAATAATTGTGTTGAAAACATGTTTTCGATAGAATCGTCAACGAAAGCATCCTAAAAAGCTTGTCATTTGTATTTCAGAAATATTACTGAGATCACAGATTCACAGAGTGCAGATCAATAAATTATCCAACCACGAACAAATATATCAAAAACTGGCATCTTAGCAATTCGCACTCACTTTGCTATCCGAATGGCCAGCCTGGAGCCGCAACCCAAGTGCGTTCCGTCAAATTCCTTCGAAACTGGTTCTGTCGTTTGGATGGATTTTTTTCTCAAATTGGGCACGATTGAATAATGTGTTTAACCATATCCACACACTGCAGGATTTGCGATTCCGTTATGTCAGATGAATCCAAGCCACAGTTTTGGCGGGGAAGGAGCCGCGATAAAAAGTTCACCCGAGTCCACTCTCGCAGGAGGAAACGCTAAGCAAAAAAATGCAGGCGGGCGGCATTGGTCATTGCACATTGCAAAATTCCCCACAAAGTTCAGTCACACCTGTCGCGAGATGAATAGCTGCCGGCGGTCGATAAGAAGGGAATCCGATGGTCCGTTAAAATCATGACACTGGTGGAGATATTATAGGTCGAATCTCTGAGTTTCAAGTTTGCATGCTTCACACTGGAGAAAAGAACACATTGGATATAGAGTCCAGACTCCTAAAAACATCGACAAGAAAAAGTACTCTTGATTCAATCAGAATCTAGCTTGAATCAATAACCAAGCCTCTTAATTTAAGCGGATTTCGTTTTGATTCAAGCAAAAATCCGATTGAGTCAAGAGTATTTTTTCTTGTCAATGTTTTCAAGAGTCTGGACTCTAGATCCAATGTGTTTTTTTCTTCCAGTGCACGGAAAAAATTAAATTGCTGATTTAACAATTAAATTTCTAAAAAAAGTGACTGCAATAATTCAACGTAGATTTCACAAAATAAAAATGCTACTTTAACCACTTTTGTAAGCTAATTCAACCACGGGGGTGGTTAAAGTAGCATTTTTGTGTTGTGAAATCTACGTTGAAATATTGCAGTCACTATTTTTAGCAATTTAATTTGTTCCGTGTTGAGTTGCTTTTACGGAACGGATTTCAGTCCAAATTCATATCTATCGGGTTGTGTGACAGCTTTTTGGGTTTTGAAATGGATCGAGTTCATCAGAAAGGAACCAAGTCACGTTCAGTTGATACTGAGAAAAAGAGGTTTAACGTTGCATTTCTTCATGAGACTCAATGAAAAAAAATAACTTTAACCCCTTTTTTCACCAAGTAAATATTTTTTCCGGACTTAGAATTTTTGGTAGACGAAAATGTACGACTAGTTGAGCTCAAAACCACTCATAACTCAATTTTTTTTCCAAAATGTGGGTTGGTTCCTTTCTGATGGGCTCGGTCCAAATAAAATACGAAACGTACCTTACTCTGGTATTTTTAAAAACTGCTAAGTAATGAATGAAGGTTTACTCACTAGAGATCAGGTGAGAAATTACGGTAAGGAGACTGGTTTTTACATAGAAGGAAAAATAATTTTATTAAGTCGGTTTGAAGTTCTTTGAGAACAACTAATGACTGCTTAATCGCTGTTTAAGTACGCAATAATAAAGATTTTAACAAATAAAACGGCATGTTTTCCTGACAGGAATGACCTTTCTTTAAATGCAAGTATTCTCATTTTTTTTGTACCAAGAAGACTCCTCCCGAACCAAAAAAGAAATTTCTCTCCCAGCCGAAGAGCATACATGCTTTTAAGCGCGCCATGCATGAGGCACGCTTATTGCAATCGCCGAGAACTCAGCTGTTATTTCCGGGTCGATTCTTGAATCTTTGTCTAATGATCCTGATAGATAAATATATGTACCTATCTTAGCAATGCTGTTTATTGATCATGGTCATTCGACATCGATTCAACAAGCGATCCTGATCGATAAATCCCTATCTTAGCAATATTTCTATCGCGGTCATGGTCTCTCGATATAGATTCAACAATCGAGCTGCTGTATCGAGTCCAATTGCTTGTTCGATTATTTTGAAACCGTTTTTATGGCGGGAACGTACTTGCATTTTTGCATCGTGATGAATAATTCTTGAGAGTATTTAGATCACTGGTAATTGTTTTTTAATCAATACCATTACCGAAAGAACCCATTACATCTTTATCTGTGCCTATAAAATTCTTTAATTGTTACATATTTCTTAATTTACTTCGACCATATCGTGATTTAAAAAACTAACCTATATTTACACCTGCAAGTCATGAAACCTTGTATAATCGTTTAGAATACACCTGTATAAGAGTTTCTGAGTGGTTATTAGCGCAACGGACGACTGCGGATTACTTTCGTGTAATTCATATGAATCGTGTATATGCCTCGCCATCGGTGACTTCCAGTGTTCGAAACTCACCTTTGAGTTTTAGAAGTCATTTGGCCCATCAAACTCGATTTTTAGGGGACATTGATGACTTTTTAGAGGCATATTGACTTTTTGCCCATACATTACGGTGAATTTATCAAAAATTTTGGTGCAAGCTATTTTAATTGTTGTGCTGCAACATTTAGGGAGGAAACGCTTCGCAAAACCTTCAAATTTCTAGAAACAAATCATGCCTTAATTTTATTCATATGACAAACCTCGTTTTGAGTCGGGAAAATCTCCAAAAATGCAATTCCGGGAAACTCACCTGTTCACGCTGCAAAAACGCGGCGAACCCCTCCGCGGATTTGAACCGACGAGGTCGAATATTACATGAGATCGTGGAG